CTCTTAGAAAGATTCCCTCTAATAGTTAGTGCCCTAACGCATACTCTCCTTTCCCACAAGAAGTTAATGAGACCAACTTTGTTCAACTACAGGCATGGTGCTGGTGGTCTCTGACTAGAGGTCATGGACAGTGTTTAATAAATTTCACTGAATAATCAATATTAAAATATCATGTTTGTGGGCACATATATAAATACCTAGAAAATACAAAATAAAATTATAATATTAAATCCATATTTGTTGATATGTAGTAAAACCTATGTTTGTCATGTTAAAGAGTATGTGTATAGTATGATTCTACTTGATAAAATAAACATACACCTGTATATGTATAAATTCAGTGTGTGCACATGAACAAGGAGAAAAGTGTGGAAGGACACACATCTGGCTGCTAAAATTGGTTACTTCTCTTCTTCACCCTTCACCTCCAGGCTAGCTGCTTGACCTCACTGTCTAAATCTTCCCATCTTCAAATAACTGCACAGTTACACGCAAAGGGATTAAAATGGTGCCTAACACATACAAGGTCAACAAATATTAACTATTTTACATAATAATAGATATTGCCATTTCTTAACCACCCTTTCTTAGTAGATTCCCCTAACCTGGATTGGAATCTATTAACAAGCAGGACTAAAAGGAGGAGATGATTAGCTTTGCCTTCACACATCCTTGGGCTGTATTGTTTTACTTGATAAAATAAGCCAACATTCATTTTCATTAGAAAAAAGAAAAAATGTTTCATCACAAGAAATCTGTGCAGCTTCTCATCTTTCATACTTCAGTTTCAATGTTACCTCTTTGAAAAAGCCTTCTTAAAGGGCAGCTCAGTGCAGACTCTAGAACAAGACCCCTTGGCTTGACTCCTGACTTTACAACTTACTATCACCTTGGGCTAGTTTTTTATTTTTTATTTTTTTATTGAGATATAATAATTACACATTTTAATGGAGTTTATATGATATTTTGATACATGTATACAATGTGTAACGATCAAATCAGGGTATTTAGGATATCAATCACCTCAAACATTTACCATTTTTTTGTGCTGGGAACATTTCAAACCTTCTATTTTGGAAAATACAATAAATTGTTGTTCACTATAATCACCCTACTGTGCTATCTAACACTAGAACTAATCCCTCCTATATGACTTATGTTTGTAACCATTAAACAACTTCTCTTCTTCACCCTTCGCCTCCTGGCTAGCTGCTTGACCTCACTGTCTAAATCTTCCCATCTTCAAATAACTACACAGTTACACACAAAGGGATTAAAATGGTGCCTAACACATACAAGGTCAATAAATATTAACTATTTTACATAATAGATATTACCATTTCTTAACCACCCTTTCTTAGTAGATTCCCCTAACCTGGATTGGAATCTATTACAGGATCCTTTTTTGTTCCTTCATAGCACTTTTATAAACTTGTAATTTACACATTTACCTGTTTAGTAGCTGGTCCCTCTCACTATTATGTAAGCTTTATAAAAGAAAAGACTGTTCTATACCAAATACCCAACACCTAGCACAATTCCTGGCCCATAGAAGACACTATATCTCTTGAATAAATGGGCGTCATTTGAATCTATTGTCCATGCCATTTTTTGCCTACTGGGAATATAAGGTTATACATTCTTAACACTATTTTTGAAAATGGCAGCTATAGTCAATAGCGATGCTAGAAAAAAAATCTTCATGTTGTAGTAAGCTCATTTATAGAAATTGCAAACAAATCTAATAGGATGACAAAACTTTTTTGGTATTCAAAGTGCTTTCACCAAAAGGCCAAATGGTTAATAGACACAACCTATAACTTCTCCCATTACAAACTATACCAAGCAACACTAAGTGACCACGTTGCCCAATGCTTACTAATTTGTTTTCCTCCAGATACAACACAATCAATTCCTGAATGTGGCCTCTCCCACAGTTCTATCTCCAGCGCCTCTCCTCCTCCCTTCACCTAAGTCTAGCAACACTGACCCATTTGCAGTCCCCAGAGCCTGCCCTGCAGCTGACACTACCGAGCCTGGACCTCACCACTCCATACAGATGCTAGAGTGATCCTCCTAAATCATAAGTCTTCTTATGGCCATTCTGTGCTCAAAACTCCCCAAGAATTATCCTCTCCCTCAAAATCCCAGCTCCCTACTGTGGCCTGTAAGGCCCTGCTTGATTTATTCCACCCCTTCCCCATCTCCCTGAGCTTATCTCCTGCCACTCTTCTTCCTTCTTTCTGCTCAAGCCACTGAATTTCTATTCAGATGTCACCTGATTAGAGCATCCCTGACCACTGTGTATAAAATAGCCATCACCCCCTCTACCATCATCCCCCATTCCACAGCCCTACTTTAAAAGTCCTCTATAGAGCACTCAGCATCACTCCACATACCAGGTACTTTTTTTGTCTGCTCCCTCTACGCAAGCAAATGTAACTCATGTAATGAGAACGGGGACAATCTCAGTTTTGTTTGCCGCTGCATCTCCAGCACTTAGCAAAGTGCCTAGTACACTGCAGAGCCCAATACTTGCAGAATGAATGAGCATGCCCACGCAGATTCAACTACCTTCAGTGCCTGACCCAGCTTTAACATTCTTAAGGAACCAAAACACATCCTTCAAAATCCAGCTCAGGGGTCACCTTTGAACTCATCTATTAAGATCTGTCTCCCCTTTGTTTTTGCACCTCCAGAATCTATTATAGGTCTAGAACAAGTAGAAACTCAATAGGTAACTGTGAAATTGAAAAACTGCGTAGGTATACTAAAAATGCCCCTTCTGAAGGACTTTACCTGCTCACAGTCCCTGCTACCCTCAATAGCCATGTTCTCTGCCATGGCCCATAACCAGGACGGGCACATGATCTATGACATGAGACTGCTCAATCAGCTTCTCTCTAGAACTGGGAATTAGAAACCAGAGACTGTGCCTGTTATTGTGGGCCATGTGTAAATGATACAGTTTTGAGACAGCCAAGTCAGCAGAGAGAACACAACAGATTAAAGACTCACTCCTAAGTAAAAGAACAGGTGTGGCCCCTGAGAGATGCAGCACATGGTGCTGCCTGGGATCCTGACTTCTTGCTGATTCTCATTCAGTCACATGTGCCTCCTTTTCCTTGAGGTAATAGATTAAGTTTCTGGTACCTGCTTTCTGAGCAGCACTAATACAATAGCACATAAAGTGGAGAAACTGACCATAGGAACAAGGGATAGCACACTCATACATGATCCTAGAAAAGTTAATCTCCCAACAGTCTATGTGACCCAGCCTGGAAAAACACAAAGAATCAGAGCCCTGGACACCTGTCAGAGAATCACTAAAACAGACAACCCATAGAAGAGGGACCAAGCAGTGGTAATGGAAACGTGAGAGATATTAACTTGAACAATATAAAATATCCAATATTTGACCGAAATTTCTGACCCACCAAATATTCAGAAGAGATATTCTGGATATAAAAATAAAACTAATCATGTGACTGGAGAAGAAAAAGGACAGGCTTAAGATGACTAGACGTCAAGTACAGGTGACTAGAGAATGGTGTTGCCCTTAGCAAAAGAGAAGTAAGGAGGAAGAGTAGACTTTTCTCTGCATGGTTATGCCTCCTTCCCCACCACCCTGGCTGGGTGAATGGGGGCTGTGGGTGCTTTGGACAGGCTGAATTTGAAGTGCTCCAAAAGAACTAGGTTGAAGAAACCCACCCACAACTCGGAAAAATAGATCTGGAAATCATTCAAAGTGTAGAACAAGGATTTGCAAACTTGTAAGCTTCAAAATTATTTGGGAAGCTTGTCAAATACACATATCCCTTGCACTCCTCCCCCAGAGAAGCCCATTAGGTAGATCTGGGGTGGGGTCTAGAAACTGACATTTTAACAAGCACCCCAGGATGATTCTGATGAAAGTAGTCCACCCAAGCAAAGCTAAAGGAGAACAAAGAACACAACTTGCTACAGCATTTCCCAACCTTGGCTCTGCACCCGATACCCTAAGGTGCTTTTAAAAAATGTAGATATCTGGTGCTCAGTGTTGTCAAATGTGGACAGGGACCCACTGAGGGTAATTCCTGAGCCACACCCCAGGCCAAACGATTGGCAATCTCTGAAAGACTAACAAAGGTACATTTTAACAAGTACCTCTATGGAGCAGAGATGGCAGCATGAATAATTAACAAGAAAAATTTTTCATTGGTTTAAACCTGTCAAAACAACTTGAAAGAATAAAAATTCCACCACTGCAGGCTGACAAAGAAATTCTTTCCCTATAAATAAATCATGGCAACGTGGAAATCGATGACTTGCCGATATCTTGCCAGGCGTTTAAAAGGCTACCCAGGACAATGGAGCAATGGAGCTCAATATGAAAGCAAGAGAGAAAACAATACCTCCTCACCGATGGAAGCCCAGAAAAGAAACACAGAACGACTGCCTTAGAGGCACCAACTAAAGAGATTCTCCAGCTGGTGGGTGTGCCAGGGGCTGCCCGGCTAAAGCACAAAAACAACTGTTTCACTAACATCCTTCACCCCCACCCCACCCCACCCCACCCCAACCCTGAGGGGCCACTCTGCCCCGAGAAAGACTGACCACCTGAGACAACGAGTCCAGAAAACCTACCCGCACTCCAGCCAAGTGAACTCGCCCCGAAAGCCAGACCCCGAGCGCCCGGGGCTCCCCTGCCCGGCCGTCCCCGAGAACCCCTCCCGGCTCGACCTCGCTCCGCTCCCACTCCTCCCCTCCCCTCCCCACCGGGCCCACGAGCCCATCCCCCGCCCGGCCTGGGCCCCTCCCCACCCGGTCCATCCCCCACCCCGCCCGGACTCGCCCCCTCCCCACCCAGGCTGCACCGCCCCCCCACTTTGTCCATCCCCCCACCCCGCCCGGACTGAGCCCCGCTCCCCGCCCAACCTGGGCCCTCTCTCCACCCGGCCTCGCCCCCGCCTCCTCCCCCGTCGCGCGGCAAAGCCCCGCCAGCGGACCTCCACACTGACCGTCTCACAGCCTGGCCCGAGGACTGCGCCCTCAGCTCGGACGGAATGGGCCCGCTCGGCCGCAGGCGGTGTCAGAGGAGCGCAAAGGAAGAGAAGGCGGCTGTAACAGCGTCTCCCTCACCACGCCCGGCGGCCATATTCCTCCTTCTCCGCAAACTGACAGGTCACGTGGCCGCGCGCTGGGGCGGGGCGTTGAGTGGCCACGCCCCTGGGGCGGGGCGGGCACGAAGGAGGCGGGACTGGAGCGCTGCAGGCGCAGCAGGTGGGCGCCCAAGTGGCTGAAGGATGAGTCCCCCTTTGGGCCTCCAAATGTGTGTATTTTTTACAAGTACCCCAGGCAATATTGTTTTCATTCTCAATATCACTCCTCTTATAGTTAATTCATAATCCCTATTTACCATTATAATCAAGTTTATTAAGAGAAATAAACCACAACTATAACTTCAGAAGACATTGCACACTCATTACAAACGAAGGCCAGCTCAAAAGCCTTCCCGAATCCACAAGCCAGATCTCTCAGCCTTCTCTGAGCGCCTGTGGGTTTACACTCCTGGTCTTCCAGAGCGCCCACAGCCTCCCCTAGTCCTCCCTCAGCCTCCTCTCTCCTCCCACCGCCTCCCTCTGTCCTCCCTCTGTGTTCCCTGTCTCCCCACCCCCGCAACCTTCCTCTTGGAAATGCTCTTTTCCCTGGGCTTCTGTGACTCTAATTCTTCTAGTTTTTCTCCCATTCTTCTGGCTGCTCCTACTCAGATTCCATATCCCTTAAATTTGTTTCCGGAGTTCTGCCCAAAGTTGGACTTGTCACCCTCCCCATTCAATATGCTCCTCCCCTTGTATCTCTATTCTCAGAAGCCCTGCCTCCTCCCCCATCCACTGGAGAGTTGGAAGTCACCCTATACACTTCCTCCCCAGTCATCTCATCAGCCCATCACCTGCCTGTAGCAACTTCCATCCCCCACGATCTATTTGAAGGCTCAGAAGCTCCCAGCCAGGACTATCCCAATAGCCCCCAACTACTCTCCCTGCCTCCACCCATGACCCCGTTAACCATTTCTCCGTGATCTTGCTACATCATGTCACTTCTTTCATTGAACTGCTCAGTAGCATCTATTTCCTAGAATAAATTCCCAGATGATGCTTAGTTTGCAGGCTCTTCAAGTGCTGGCCTCTGGCAGACTTCCCCAGTGCTGTGACTACTGTCCCCCTCCCAGCTGGCCACCCCGCCTCCAAGGCTGGCAAATATTTAGACTTCCTGGAACTTTGGAGCATGCTTCTTCTCATCTCCATTCTTTTGCAAAGTGTTTCCCCACCTGAACATTCTTCTCGGCCCTGTCCAACTGATTCCAAGGGACAAATGCTATTGAAGATAGAGGTTAAAGGGTTACCTCTTTTGCAAATTTTCCTGGTGGACCTCAAGCCAAGTCTGTGGATCCCTCCCCTATACTCACCTTCTTACTCCACAGAGCCTAGAACACTGCAAGGACACAAAGTGTGTTCAGTAAAGCACATTTAACCTGGCTGTTTGTCTTTCCCCCCACTCTAAGACTGACTCCATCCTCATATCCTACCATACCTTCAAACCCCCCCCCTCTCTTTAGAACATTGCCTGGCCTTAGAAAGCTATTACCAAAGAAATCACACTCTTTCTGACTTCATTCTAGGTTGTGGGGGATTGTTTCACCACACCAGCTCCCAATGAAGCCACACTCCTTGTTGGCTTTTTTCATAGGTTGCTAGGTAGATGCACCAGTGCATGCTATACAATGGTTCCCAACCTGCACACATCACAAACATCTGTGGACCTTTTTATTTTTATTTATTATTTAATTTTATTTATTTTTTGAGACAAAGTCTCACTCTGTTGCCCAGGCTAGAGTGCCGTGGCATCAGCCTAGCTCACAGCAACCTCAAACTCCTGGGCTCAAGTGATCTTCCTGCCTCAGCCTCCCAAGTAACTGGGACTACAGGCATGTGCCACCATGTCTGGCTAATTTTTTCTATATATTTTTAGTTATCATATTAATTTCTTTCTATTTTGTAGTAGAGACAGGGTCTTGCTCTTGCTGGTCTCAAACTTCTGAGCTCAAATGATCCACCCGCCTCAGCCTCCCAGAGTGTTAGTATTACAGGTGTAAGCCACTGCGCCAAGCCAAGATACATTAAAAATTTAGGTCAGCATGTCATTTAACAGCAGTAGATTCAACTTATTTTATTAATGATTAATGAATGAGGAAGATGTGCTGGAGGGATGAGAGAAGGTATTAAATAGTCTTCTCAGAGAAGGGAAAGCAGAGTGAGTGACATGGAGACTTGCCTGACAGTGCTGGGCATTGCTAGGGTGAGACTATGCAGTGTGACTACGTCAGCTACCCAGGCAGAGGTGCAGGTGCAGTGGAGGAAGCCAGTCAGACGGAAGAAGTGGTGTTGAGCTTTGCCGGGGGGTCTGATGAACAGAAACAGGAACAAAGGAGTTGAGGGCACATGCGATTGTAGAGTGGAATTACAGACCACAGTCTCAGTAGGATCCTCAATAGCATGTGCGCTAAGTTCGATGGAACAGAAGTATGGGTGTCAAAGAGTCGATGGAGTCTGTATACTGGAGGAAGTGAGATGGAAAGGTAGGAGGTGGTTGAGTGGAATGCTGGCAATGGAGACCATCAGTAACAGCGAAGTCTAAAGCATGTCTACTGGTAGCCTATGTAGAAAGGGTCCAAGATCATTGGAGGACGGCAGGTCACGGAACTGAGAGGCCAGAGTGTTGGAAGGTTCTCCTATAAGGATATTGAAGTCCTCAAGAACTGTGTGTTGTGTTTGAGTGACAATAACCAGATTCTAATATTTTCTAGTTGGGAGTGACACAGGGAAGTCTGCAGATGACAGCAGCAAGGAAGAATGGTTCAATGTCTCATGTCAAAAGGTCCACATTTAGGGCCTGAGCCCCTAAACCCTGGCATTTTAGGAAGGAAGAAGGAACAATTGTCTGCATATAATAAGGAGGAAGGAGTATACTTACATCCCCTGTGGGCCCAGTGATGGTGGGTTGAGAGAGAAACCAGCTGTCACTTAAGAGGGCTACACGAGAAGCTATGTCCTCAGGAAAGACCTGGGTTTTCATTACAGCAAAAGGTGAATGGTAGAGTTAGAAGAAATAGGGGCTTCTTTACTAATGCTACTGCCATGAACTCCCAGGGAAAGTTTAGGGAGTTGGGTTGGAGGATGGACAGTGCAGAGCTGCGTGGGGATAGCAAGCTTTCAATTAGGATATTGATAAATGCAGAGTAGATTTGGCAAACCTAAATATACCGACTGCTGTGACTCTGGACAAAGAAAGAAACTTCCACGCGATCATTGCAGCAGCATTAGGTTCCAATTGTTTAGCCATGGACACGAGAAGTTCCAATAAAGAGCACCATCATATACTAAAAACACCTTCTCACATTGTGGTTTATGGTCCACATTCCTTATGGAATAAAATGTGAGGATCATATGATTGTTGATACAAAGTTCCCTACTTCTCCATCACTAGTCAGTTTCTCTGAGCAAACTGATTCAGAAAGTCAGATGATAAGTCATACAGACTGCTTCCTTATATTAGTTGCAACTTGAATTATTCCATCAGCTACTCTTCTATTATTCTGGATAAAAGTTAATAAACATTTTAATTTTTTTTACAGCCCTCCTGTCCCCCTGAAAGGTTATTTCAGGAAAATACTGCGCACCAGGGTAGAGGAAGAAGAATACATGGCATGGATCCTCTTACTGCTTCAGAGTCTACAAGTGCCACTTGACAACTTATATGTTAAATTCCAAATGAAGTTTACAAAACACAGTACAGATTCATGGAACATTTCCTGATTGGTGACAAGGGAACTGTGCCCTGATGGTGAAGCAGGCAGAAGAGGTGGCCAGGATGTGGCATGGAGAGGAAGTCCGGGCCAAAAGAGCAACAGGTATGAAGACTAGGAGAGAGTGCCAGGTGGAGGCACAATGACTGCACGTGGCTGGAGCACGAGGGTGAATGTGTGTGTCTGGAGTGGAGTAAATTGGGAGAGAGAAGCATGACAGAGGGTAGGCAGGTGTTAGATCACAAATGTCTTTAATGCCCTACTTAAGAGTTTGAATTTAGCATAAAGGTTTTGGAGAACAGTATCACTTTTAAAGCAAGGGAATAAAATCTAATTGTGACTTTAGAAAGATGATTCCAGGCTGCATTTTAGAGAAAGAGCTGAAGGAAGACATAGATAATGAAGTCCAGAGAGAAGTCTGTTGCTATGAACGAGATGAGAAATTAGGAGGCAGGGACAGTGGAGATGGAGCTACCCCGGAGGTGGGGCTCAGGTCTCTGATTTTGGGAACCATGGAAAAAGTGACAGGGAGTACAAGAGGAATTACAAGCTCTAGGGGTGATGGAACAGGAGGACAGGTTTAGTTTTGGACGTTCTGAGCTGGAGGTGCTTGTGAGAGTTTCGGGCGTAGGTTCGGCCGGGAGCTGCATATATGGTCAGGTAAGTGAGGGGGAGGAAGCGGAAGGGCTGGAAGTAGGGGAGCTAGGGAGAGGGAGATGAGTAGGTAAGTGTGTGGTCTGGGAGGAAGAGGAGGAAGAGACTGTGACTGATTCTCCAGAGAGGCAGGAGAAGCAAGGGAGGGCAGTTACACAGAAGTCAAGAATTTCAAGAAGAGTAGTTAACACAAATGCTACAGAGATCAAGTGACATAGATTGAAAACCACCAGAATCAGCAATAAAAAGGCCAAAGATGAACCCCGTACAAGAGGTTCAGCAGAGTGTTGGGGACGAGTGAGGTGTTGACTACCTTTTTTTTAAGAGGCTCTGTTGTAAAGGGTGAGGGGTGTGGGACAGGTTTCCATCACTTTTTAATCGCACCCTACACACCGCCGGAGGCTTAAGCCTAAGGCAATGTGAGTATAATCCCATATAATCTTCTGGAGGCTAATGACTCATGCTGTAAAGAAGTGTGGAGTGGCAAACAGGAACTCAAATCTCCACGGTCACTGGGTGCTGGGCAGCTGACTATCCCAGTCTTGGCTGTGAACAGCTGGCATCTGAGCTCAAATCTCAGGCCTGCCTTTTAAAGGCTGCTCTTGGGTGACGGCAATCAGAGAATGGCATCTCTTTCCCGGGCACAATGCACCCAGCTCTGCCCTGGCGGACCCATCAGGACCCGCCCCTCTGCCGGTGGGGAGTCTCAGCCTATACCTAGAGATGCTATTGGTACTGCTGCGGAAGCTGTGACAAAAAAGACCCAAGCACAAATCAAAGCATACTTGAATAAAAGACACACACACAAAGTTAAGAAAACAGAAAATATTTCACCAATAAAGAGGAATGCAATATTTAATGACTTAAAAATCTAATCTACAAACGCCTAGAAAAGCTACAAGAAATGTAACACAAAATTAATTTTTAAAACACATAGCTAAGCTCACAAAAAAGAAAAGCAACCAAATGAACAGCTGCCCAGAGGCTCACATGGACTCGTCATTGCTTCTGAGGGGAAAGGCTGGGGGAGGTAGGAATGCCGACCTTATGTGCAACATCCTTTGTATGAAAAAAGAAAATTGAACCTCATGTGGCAAAGTGGTAACACCTGTTCAGATGGGGGGGGGAGTGTCTGTTAGATTGTTCTGTTCTGGACTATACATTTGAAATATTTTATAAACCCTTTTTAAAAAATTGGCTAATTTGTTTTCTATTATTCCTTTTTCTAATTTGGGGAAAGTTATTGTTAAACAGATACACATTTACCATACAACATATTGTTGGTGTGTAAGATCTAAACTTGCATCATTCCCGTTTTTTTTTATTCTATTTGTGTAGATACTTTATAAAATGCTCTTTTAAATTTTATTTAGAGACAAGTTCTTGTTCTGTTGCCCAGAATGGAGTGCAGTGGTGCAATCACAGCTCACTGCTAGTCCTGGGGTCAAGCCATCCTCCTGCCTCAGCCTCCCAAGTAGCTGGAACTACATGCTCGTGCCACCACACCCAGCTATTTTATACACACACACACACACACACACACACACACATATATATATATAGTAGAGACAGGGTCTCCTATGTTGCCCAGGCTGGTCTCAAATTCCTGGCCTCAAATGATCCTTCCACCTCAGCCTCCCAAAGTGTTGGGATCATAGATGTGAGCCACTGTGTCTCTCTTTTATAAAATTCTTGCCATAGCTTTTCCTTCTCCTCTAACTCCCCTCACATCATTTCTCAGACCAGTAAAAGAAAACTTTCCTTAAGAGCCCAAGATCCAAGTCCTCTGTGGAACTCTCCCTCCCTAGTGCAAAGGCACTTGGGTCTCTAATAAAGCACTAACTGTATTAACTGGTAACTACTTACTAGCTCCTTGAGGGCAGTAACTTATTCTTGTTATCCATCACGTGGGTAGGAACTCCATATCCACACTGCTTGTGGTCATGGTCCAATTTCAGCAAGGCCCCGAATGTCAAAAAGGTATTAACTGAAATCTGGCGCAATATGCTAAGGCCTTCCAGAGAAATGGCACTACGACTGGTCTTACTTGCAGGTATGTGCAGCCCAGCACCTTTGCACAACAGTAAAACTCAATAAACGTTTCCCCACAATTGTTCACAGCAGCATAAAGAAGAGCGCCCAGGCATACTCCGAGGTTCACCTAGGTCTATAATCATAGTACAGAAAGGGAGTATTTAGTGGGAGTTCCAGCGCTATGTTTCTCAATAGCAAAACCCAGATCCAGACATGACTGCCAGGAAGGGCCAACTGCAGGACTTGGAAGGTCAGCTCTTCCAGGTCAGTGTCGTCTTCACTTGGAAAGTCTGTTTTAGGAGTGAATACAGTACACTATATGCTAATTTAATGTTGTTTTACTTTTCCAAACTGCTTATGACAACAGTTTCTTTTAAATAATTTAAGAAATTAAAGAGTCAATTACTTAGATTTAGATTACCATATTGAAGAATTCTTCAATAAAAAAGACCATTGACGCTCACGATAGTCCCAGTATTCAGTTCTATAAATGGAATTAAAAGGCTCTTAAATCAGCGCACACACACGTACACACTTTTTAAACTACCGTTTAATCAGTTTTAAAGACACACAAATTAGAAAAAAACATTGATACGTAAGTTTAAAACACCTTTAAAACTCAGCAATAAGCCACCAGTGCAGCTCTGAGGACAGACTAGAAAGGAGCGGTTATGAAATTAGCACATCACAGTTTAACTGACACAGTGGTAGTTTTAATTTACCATACAACAAGAACTAATTTATGGATCTGTTCAAAAATAACACTTCTTTAAAAAAATATTTTGGAATAATAAAAACAGAAAGCACAGAACACCACAATCTATTCTCAGCCCGGGAAGGCAAATGTAAATACTGTCCATTCTGGCTGCTGGAGCTGGGCTTCTCCTTGCATTTGGGTGACTGAGGTTCAACTACTACTAGGCAGAGATCAAGATACAACTTTTAAAGGCAGGCAGGAATGAAATCACACATGTTCATTCTGTATATGGAAGAACTTCTCATTTCACCTGAAATATTTTCATTTTCACCCCTACTGCTGCGCATCACGCCCTCCTGACTCCAAGGGGTGGCTGCGAGGACGTGAGAGAAGATGGAGTAGACTGGTGTGGAACACGCTTGTGTCCAGCGTTTCAATCCTTTTTCCTTGTGATAAAAAGTCAGAAGCAAATGTACTTCATTGCTAAATCCATGTACACGGACCAAAAACACTTAAAATTGGGAAAAAGGCATATTTTAAAAGTCTGTCAAACTTTCAACATAATGATTGCCCTTTAATGGGAAAAGACAGGAAGTAGTATTAATAAATCAATTTCTCAAAGTTGTTAACCCAAAATAAAGACTGGGCAGGAAGCAGTCATTTAAGACTCCAGTAAAAAGCAGCCAGTCACTTTTTCCATTTCAAACATGTCATTAAGAAACTGTTTAGTCATTTTACTTATGTTACTCTGTAATGTTTGGTTTTTCATCATAGTATTTCCATGTCTTTTTACAGTAGCAAAATCTGATAAAAACAAGGCTGCAGGGACTGCCTTGCATCACTGAGCAAGCTGGACAGTGCTGGCTGGATCTTTACACTGTCGCCTATGGAACAGACAGTCTTGGGGTTTGTGTGTGTTCTGCCTTATAAAAGTTGGATTAAAAGAAGACTTTATCAGTTTTAAAGACAAATTCATTGGCATAGAAATGTGTCTTTAGGCTCTGTTTCATAAAATTCTCCCAATCAATAACCTATGGAGCTTGTCAGTTCTTTACCACTGGGGTCTGTATAATGTTAAAAACCTATTAAAATAAATATTATTTTAAAACATATAAAAACATTATTAAGCAGCCTACCAATTAAAATGTATTTGGCTGCATCCTCTGTACAACAAGAACCTCAAAAAGCAGCTTCATCATTGATTATAAGAGCATTCCTACAAAATACCAACGTGGAAAATTTCATTTTAAAATTTCTTCTGTAATGAGAGTTACAGATTTTAAATTCTATAAATAGATTTGACTACTTGGTGTTGCAGAAAAACACTGTAGAGACCCTCTACATTCTAATATCTGAAACTCAAATTTCAGAGTTTCTCTCTTTTTCTAATTGGAAATCTTTTCCTTCACCACTAGGAGCATGCAATGATACAAATCCACTTTTACCAAGGGCTGTAGAAAACTGAAATTTCAGCATCTAAGGTTAAGTGTATAAACAAGATCAGCCACTCACTAAATGCACACTGGGTTAAGTGTAACAGTTTTATAAGGTACTTGAGGGCAGTTAAGATTACATTTCACAGTGTTATTTAGAATTCTGCACCTATGTTAAATCTGGTGTATTAAATTTCCGCCAGGATGGGCTACTAATGCCTGATAAAACCCCACAAAATACTGGCTTACATCTAAAACTCTGGACAGATCCTTAGCTGACACAGCAATAATAGGCACCATTCCAAAACAATTATTCCCTCAAGTAATGTTTTCTTTCAATTATAATGTACAACTCTTAAAACCAAGTAATAATTATGAACAGTTAATAAGGAAACAAAAGAATAAGTATAAATGTTCAGATTTGTTCATGAATATACAAATTAAATATTTACAAAGCATGAATTTTAAATAGGAAAGGCTTTTGTCCTAAAAGTGTGACCAAGTCCTCAAGTAAAGTTTTTACTTATTTTAATGGCAACATTTTAAAGCAGTTGTTTTCTGTAGTTTATAAAATAAGGTGTGACTAAATTAAATATGCTTTAAATAAAAATTCTGAGAAGTTATATGGTGGCAAACCCTGTTCAGTAGCAATTTGTATAAAATATTTAATAGCATATATCTTCTCCAATTTTACATAACACAAACAGAAACCAAACAAAACAGAGAAAGCAAAAGGAAAATTTTTTTTTCAGTAGAAATTATTTAACTATGAAAGATTAAGGGCTATATTCAGTAGAAAAGATATGTTGCCATGCCCACAGACTTAATGGATTAAAAGGTTTTCCACCATTACCATGACAACCTTTTGAAAAGTCAGGGTTTTGAATCTAAGTAGTGAAAATCTATGACCAAGATGATAGTTTTGATTGTGAATCTGCCCAAGTCCTTGAATCCTCCAGACCTTACTAATGGCTTCCGTTCATGATACACAACTGGTCCTGGACTCTTAGGAGCTAACCCCTTTGCTTATGGCTAAGGAACTTGAGGTGGACAGGACAGGTGACTCCTCCAAGTCCTATGGCTCATTAATGACAGAACCAGAATGAATATCCAGGTCTCCTCCCAGGTTAATCAGTGCTTAAATGTGACTTACCCTCACTTTTTAGAAACCTTTTTATTGCACATTTTCCTCAAGTGGTACGTGTGGCAATCCTGTGTGTGTCATACATGGTGGGGACCAATAATAAAAATACTTTTGAACCAAGTAGACAGTGGTGGCTGATAAGCACTGGCTGGACATTTTTGAAGCCCAATAAATCTTCTCTATTATGCTGGATATTTTAGAAGCTAAATAAATTTCCCCAATTACCCTGAGTTCCAATAAAAATGCTTATTTTAAAAACAGAATGAGCCACTTGTAAATGGTGACAGCTGAGACATACCAAATTAACTGTTACTGTTTCAAGAAAATGAAACTGAAGGAAGAATAATTATTTTTGTTCACTGTTTTCCCTGAGTAGTCTATAATAAACCAAAAGCATAAATATGATGTTGATTGATCATCTCTGGAGTGGTTTCATGATACGTGAAGAGTGGAAAAATAATATAAATATATACTGAATCCTATTCTGATAATTAAAAAAAAGCAAGCCCATAATACAATGAATTCCTTTATATTTAACAGTAGTAGATATACCAGTTTTAAAGTTTTCTACTGTAAGTACCAGAAACAAAATATTAATCTTTACAACATTCCAAGTAGATAATTCATTTTATAGAGCACAAAAAATTTTGTTCTGGAGAAAAATCAAGTTGAGAATTAGAATTATCTCTTTAGTTTTTCTTCTAGATTGCATATTTATGATTATTTCTCCAAATTAGAGGAGAGCCATCCAAAAACCATTTTATAAAAATAACAAGTTGATTCAGAAAGATGAAAATCAGTCAAACTAGATATGTAATGTATTATCTTCAAAGTAATTGGAGAACTGATCAAATATCTTGCTTTCTAGACGACAGTGCTATGACTATAGTCTTTGGGCAAGATCTAAGTTAACAGTGATTTAGGTTTACAGGCTGAGAAATAAAATATATTCAGGTATAGAAATAAATGGTGATTATCTGTAAGTGGCTAGATAGGTTGAAGAACAAAACACCTGTAAGTTTTAATTAAGCCTTCTCATTCCCACTTATGACATGCCTAGGCCTGTCTTTTAAACTCTGAATTTCTTTACTTTCTCTTAATAGTGATCAATTCCTCTGCGGCATTAATTAAACTGAGGAGACATTTTGGGGGCCAGATACTTTCTATGAACATTCTTTTCTATCCGCTCACGTTATGGAGCAAGCTTAACTTCCACGTATGGGAGAATAGAGAAAATTTATTTAGCTTTCTATTCTTTCCTGAGAGGGAAGGGTTAGCCTCATCAGATGGAAAAAAAATTTACCTTTATAAAAATAAAAATAGAGGAGGATATCTCTAAAGTTCTAAAAAGATACATTGACATTTTTGCTGATTAAGACCTCAAAAATTCCAAGTGCATTTGCTTTTCTTTTCTTCTTTAAATGAAATATTACATAGCTTAAGCTAGATTGTTGTTTTTGTCCTTAACTTCTTCATTTGAAAATTTATTAGTGATCAAAAAAAAAAGTGAGAAAGAGAGAGAGAGAGGGAATCTCACCATAGATAATTTGCATTTCCTTAAAAAATTTAAGGCAAAAAGAAAAATAAATTCAACAAAAGATTAGTCAAATAAGGGTGAAGTCAGGCCTTCCCCATCTCCTCCCACAGGGCTGAGAGTGTGGGGCCAGCTTCACTGCCTACCATCAAATCCTACTCTCCTACTTTTAGCTACTGCAACCAACATAATAATATCCTCGGATTTATAGGAGACACTGAAGTCATTCAAGGCAACATTAATCATGATAAAAATGGCCCATAACATAAAAGCAATTTTTTCTATTTACAGAACCTAAAACTCATTTTAATGAATTAACAGCAAAATTTTAAGGTGAGAAGTTAAAAATTTGAAAATGAATTCATATTACTCTCAAAAAATGCCTTTCAGATGCAATGACTTCAACTTTTCATTTTCCTAAAACTTTGCCAAATACAAATTAAACTGTCACAGATAAAAAATTGATTATATTCAGATAGTAACCATACCTAGCAATTTCTCTTTCAAAATCTTTGAGTAATCTACCACTATTATTTTCATACTCCTTTCTAATTCTATATAATTTATACTTGATACATTTCATTTAAAAGTCCAAAGCATTACAAAGTTATGCTTGAGGCCACACAGTGCTTTTTGCATTCCTGCCTTCATTTCTCATTCTTTCTCTCTCTCTCTCTCTCAAAATAAGCTTAAAATATCACATTACCAACCTTTAATTATGTTTAAGAAATTGCTCCTTGAAGGGCTCTCTGACTGACACAAGATAATTAAACTCTAGCAAAATAAGCTACATATAATTTGGCATATGTTACTGTTTACAGTTTCACTATGGATTGTAGTCATTTGAGACATACTTTAAGAAAACCCTTCAAATACTGAGATGTTTATTGCATTTTTAAACTATCCACATCCTTAAATATCCTGTTTCAAATTCTTCCTAAATTCCTTTACAGCACACAATATCAACTACTGCAATAGTGTTCACACGATATTACACTTGAAAATACCATTTAGGTACAATATTTTAGGAAATAGAGGGCTTAAGGCAAGACATTCATTTGGAAAAGTTAATTTCTTTCAATCATCCAGATTGACACGATTATTTTTCCACCTCTTCAGTGCCTTGGGATACGCAACGTACATTCAGCAACAGGGCACAAATGTGACCCTGTGGACGTATGCTGAGGTTGTGAGTGCCCATTGAAATATGGAAATATTTTTATATAAGGCGTGGCCCACAGGAACGTGTCATGGGAGGGGTTACTTCACTCCATTTCCAGTCTGGTATATAGGAAATCCCCCACCTATAACCGTCCCATTTCCCCTCGGTTAAGCTCTTTTCGAACAAACACAAACCCCTTGAAAAGGTGCTAAGATTGGTTTCTGTTAATATACAAAAAATAGCCGTCAGAGCCTTTCCCCATCACTGCTTTAGTGATGAATGTCTGGAGGCTACTTCTTGATTCTGATTGCAAACATTGTTTGTTGTGGAAAAACTGTTCTGTCCCAAAGAATTTTCTCTTCCATCAAACTTTTTGGATTGTGAGAGCTGAACATTTTCATGTGTATTCTTTCCTCTTTGAGTTTTTTTCACGGGTAAAAACAGTAATACTAAGAGACCAACGATGTGCAGGCAGTAATACCAGGAGCTAAAAAAAGAATGAAAAGAATTTATTTTATTACATTTTGATAATAATCCTTAACAACTGCACACTTGTCAAAATGTCACTCACCATCCTCCCCCCCTTAGAACGTGTTTATTTACTGTGTGATTCTCTTATTTTGCCCCCTCAGGACAGGAAACTCTACAGGCCAGGGGGTATTTATGAAGGCTGGATGGCCACGATACTAGGTATCCTTCTTACTCTGCCTGTAGGGGACATGAGGTCATAGCTAAACAGAACAAAAAGGTACTTATTAATAAGTGACAGCAATCTGAAAATCTCTCCAATCCACGGAGTCAAAAGGTGAGTAAACAAAGAGTACTCAGGTAGTAAAGACTTTTACTAGTCTGGCCTTCTCTGCTATTTACTATCTGTAAGTTACACATATTCCAACAAGGTGAGTAAGAGATAAGCAATATTGTTTCTTGATGGTTACTTTCATAAAACAAAGGTCAAATTATTAAAAACCTTATTAGAAACATCATCCCCCATATAAAATACATACCAAATGTAACCTAAATGCTTCTATAGCTGGAAATTCAAGTGATTCTAAACAAAGTACCTGGGAAAGAAAATCTAACCAACAGCTCAATCACATTTAAAAATATGTAATAATTCTGTTAAAATAGAAATTTTAACAAGATTTAATGTTTTACTGTATGCTTATCATCATATCTGACTCAATAATTTATGGACCACACACTCTGTCATTCTAAATGTTAGAGTAATAAAGAATTTATGAAAGATTAAAGTTTTTGATCTCAAGCATTTCACTATCTAATATAGGGGGGGTGGAATTTGGTGAGTCAGAGAGTAGAGACTAAGCAGATAAACAAAAATATGGAACTCGAGACAACAATTTCTGTAATACAGAGATCACCATGATACCAATGAAACATAAAAGAGTAAAAAGGAAGCAAATAAATAAAATGTAAGTCATTTTCTTTTAATTAAAGAAATTAAGATAATTAATAATTGTTTGTAAAGAACTGTCTTTTCCAAACAGATTGAGGACGATTAAGCTATGAAGTTCTTCATCAAACCTTTATGAGAGATTTGAGACAGTGGTTATACAGCTGGTATTTCTCTGTCTAAAGCACATTCTCATCTGAGGATGGAGTGGAATGAGTCATTCTACAAAGAACTTGAGACTCCTTGGTTTAGGATTAAAAAGTAACTGATAATGCATTTAGCGGCAGGAAATGAGGCTATGGTATTATTTTTCTGTTCTACCAAGCAAGAAACTTTTTTTAAAATATAAAGTTATTCCCACTGAAAATTTTGTTAGAGCAATACTTACCTGTAAAACATGAATGATGGTTTTATAGAAAGAAGTACAAATGGCACAACTGTGTAACTTATTGCTATTTGAGTTACTATCCATGTTACAACATCATAAAATAATTTAAGTTGGGGAGGTTCGATGAAATAATGTCTAAAGTTATTTCTCATCTGAAATAAAACAAAAATATTTGCTGTATCTTCAAATTAACATGATTTATGAAATTACACTGTTGATATCAACTGTTTCAAAGACATGGAATAACTGAAACTCTGCTACATTGGTGCTGGTAATCTAAAAAGGAACTACCACTATGGAAGAAGTTGGTTCCACAAAAACTAATACAAACATGCATGAGAGAGAAAGAGAGAGACAGAGAGCAAGAGAGGATGAGGAAGCACAAAGGGAAAATGAAAACAACGGGGTAAAGTGCATATAGGAGTTCTTTGCAACTTTTTTATAGATTTCATGTTGTATTAAAATAAAAGTTTTCCCCAAAAAGTTAAAAGCTACCCTGCCTAGAGCTTCTTAAATCATATTTAGTAAATTACAGTATATAAATCAAGTTTAATCTACTTTCAAAGTTACTTCTTGTTTAACCCTCTGTATTTGTGAAAGACAAACAGGTATTCTACACTATGCTTAAGTCAAACAGCACTTACTTAAATAAATGACAAACACACACACCATTCAATAATGGAAGCTGGGAAGAGCGTTTCAAAAAAGAGTGTTTTCTAATAGCCACTATTTCTTCAATGCCTTTTTTTTTAGTTTTTAAAACAGTCAAAACATCTCAGTTTTGAAATGTGCAAACTGACACAAACAGGATTTTTTTTTCTATTTTATTCCTCACTCTTCTTGCCTTATGTTTACAGGTGAAACATGCTCCACTATGAAGATGCCACAAGAATTGTTCAGAGATGAGTTAGTGACTGATTACTCTTTTTTTGTTTCTATTTACTTACTTACCTACTTATTTATTTATATATTTATTTTAGAGATGGGTCTCACTGTCACCCAGGCTGGAGTGCATTGGCACAATCACAGCTTACTGGAGCCTTGAACTCCTGGGCTCAGGAGATCCTTCTGCCTCAGCCTCCAGGGACTAGAGGCATGCAAGGTACACGGTTAATGGCTCTTCCATACTAAGGCCACCATTCCCAGTGGCCAGAGCAAATCCTGACACCTACTATCTCTTGCTTAGCTCACTGACCCAACAGGCACTCACTCTCGATCTCATTCTGTCCACCAATGACAAACCCATTTTCATGAAGTATGGCTTTCAGCATTCCCTTCCCACGCTTAAAAACCTTGCCTGACTCTCTGATATTGCAGACAGAATAGGACTATGCTCTTTCCCAGCTTGGTGTTTAAGTTCTTCTATTATTTCCCTCCTCCCTTACCCCATTTGCCTCTCTAGAATTATTCACTATTTATGCATACATGAATTCTCTGCTTCTATTAGATTTACTTGCCATTCCCCAAATATACCCTGTGCTTTCAAACTTGGTTTGGCTAACATCCTTCCCATGCCTAGAATGTCATCTTCTCCCCCATTACACTCCACTCACTATTAAAATAACATTCATCTTTCAAAGCCCAGATCCAAATACTTTCCTAATAAGGCCAATCCTAGTCAACCCAACCAAAAGAGATTTCTTTCATCTCTGAACACTTACTATCTATAATAACCATAGAATCTATCATATGTGCCTTGTGTGATGCATGAGTCTGCACACATACACACACACACACACACACACACGCTGTATGTATATATACATACATACACCTCATGTTCTGAATTAGACTACAAACTACCAGAAGGTATGGTACTTCTGAAGTACTATACCTTCTAAGTTAACACTTCTTGAAGTTTCCCTCATATACTCTCAGGGTACCTTAAAATTGAAATAGTGAATATCTCCTAGTTTGTTAAATAAAGCTCTCTTACCTATGAGTGCCATAATGAACTTGTTCCAATACCTTTTTTGTCATGTCACTTTCCTCTGGCTTTCAAGGACTTTTCCTTTCCTCTCCCATGTCACCAATCTAATCTCTCAATTGTTTCCCAAAGTAATATTCCAGGTTCCAACCAGGCAGACACTCTAAAGAACTGTGCCCCACTTCTAATGTGGTATCTACCACCAGGGACAGCTCATCTATTCATCTTGGCCTATTCATGGTCTTCTCTTCATCTAAAAGCCAACTCTGGGGTTAAAGCTTTCTGGAAAACTGCTAGAATAAACCTACCCATTCTGATCATCTTTATTTAACTCAGTTTTTACCTCTCCTTCAGAAAACTCCGCAAAGACAAAGTAAGAATCTGTGAGTGCCCCCATGTGTAAAAACACGTCTTCTCCTCACATGGCGCCTAGCACACAGTGAGTATTCAGTAAACATGCACACAGTTATACACTGCACACCTAGTAGAAAATACAATGTTGTTCACAGTCAAAGATATAAGGTCTACCTTGTAAAAGAGATTTAGTCAGCTTTCATAACAGTTCAAGTGGACCACTGAATTATAAAATAAAATTCTTGATACTTACAGCTCGTGCTGCTAATGTCATTAACACCCCTGTTAGAAATGTTAGATAATATCCTGGGTATACCCCATGCCAAATGGCAGAGAGAATGAACGTCTGGATGGTTGGACTGAAGGAGGCTCGTTCATAACACACCCTAGAAACCAAGAAAAACACGGAGAGCCAAGAAGAATGAGTGACCTGTGTTTACGAAGCCCACAGTGATCATTCTTTCATTACCTGACAGGATTTAGGGTAACCAGAAAAACAAATACAACTTATCTTAGGCAATAACTTAATCTGTGATCTCAGGGAGGTTATACTAAATAGCTATTACGGGTCAAACTTAGGAAAACAAATTTAATTCTCATCTTCTTACTGGTATATGTAATAACATATCACTTCTAGTGTTTGAGAGTCTATATAACTTACAAAACATAAATTTCTAATAATATCAAAGTTATTTTCATTCTATATTATTACTTTCTTGAAAAACATTAAGCACTTTTAACTGACCTAATTACACTATTCTTTCTGGCAAATAAACTGTGCTTAAAGTTTTCCTATAACAGGGTAGAGAACTCAGGAGAAAATAAGCTTTTCCTAAGGTATCAAAATTTAAAAGTACCAACAAAAAATAGCAAAACAGATTAGCTCAGAGAATTGGTAGCCAGCAGGGAGACTGCAAGGCACCATAAAGTGATGATAATATATGCTGGCTATCTCAAGGAATAAAAATATTCAATTTGTCATTGAAAGAAAGATGCCATAAGAGAAGGCTGCACAGAGCCCTACCATTACAGGGTCAGTATTTTAGGAAATAAACTCAAGATAGGACAATGTGCTTACAGGGACAATGACAGAGACTCCCTGGGCGTTTCTGTGCAATCCCCAGCTCTGTATTTCACACCTGTCACTCCAACTGGGCTGCCTGCGCCTTGCCCTTGTCCACTGGACACACTCCTGACAAGAAACCCAGCACAAACATCAACTACTTCCAAGAAGTTCTTCCTCACTCCCCTTTGTGCCCTCACTGTGCCTGCTCTCTCTGCCCCTAATCCTCACTACAGGAACAGCATGTGTCTGATTACACAGCTGTGTCTTGAGCAAAACTGTGAACTCTTTCAGTTTTAGGGGCTGGGCCTTTTTGTCCTAGTCATCTTTGTATCCTGTACATAACATATAAAGATCTGCTGAATTGATACATTTAAAAGAGGAACTGTTCCAGCAAACCCAGGGCATATATATATAGTGGCTGTACAGGACTTTCTGATTTAAACCAGTTTGCTTGTGAATGAGAATAGGTGCTACAGAGGAGGTCCCTGGAGATCAGATGTTGGCAGAGGCCTTCAAAGGCAGGCTGAGAGGGCAGGAACAGCTGCGTTTGAGACTCAAGCCACAATAGTTCTGATTTGATGGTGCCTTGCTTAGGAGGATGCTAACCGTGTTCCCTGGGTAACACTGAGGGCACAGTGTCACTCAACACACTGTTAATTTAATTAAGAATCTGAACTCAGCGAAGCTCAACCCCAAGAACTAGATGCCAAAGCACATCTAAAGATTGTTCTTGAAGGAACATACCTTTTGAGCCAAAGAGCTGTCTGAATATTCCAATTATCAAGAAACATCTTAAAACTTGTTGACATCTGAAAAACAAAGGAACTTTTGTCTTTGGGCAACAAAATAATGAAGCTTTAAATATAAGTAACAATATATTATCATGCCAAAAAATCAAAATTAAAAATGACTTAACAATAATGGTAGTGTACTGATTTCTCTTTCCTTAATACAGTTCTTATAGTAACATCATTCTACATAAAAGGAGTTTATTTATTGTTTGGAACATCTATGAGGTAAATGGGTTATCACCATTTTCTCCTACATGTTAACACTTACAAGAGTTGTCATGGAATTATCCTAAAGAAATTCCTGAGAGAGACAAACGCCCTTTCAACGGTGTTCCCTCTTACACTGAAGATTAGAGCACTGCCTCATTATCTTCCTCTCCCGCCAAGCTCAGCCATCATTCCGAGTGAAGTGGACACCCACAGCAATGACCCACCCGGCTGCCGTCTCTCAGCTTCCTGGCTACTCGGAATCTTCGCGCCACCTGGCTCCGCGCTACTCCTGAGAGAATGGATCTGCACACCCATCTCCCAGACCGGGACTTCCTACCTTCCCAGCTTCCTCACTCAAGTTACTGCCACTAAAGCTATTCTTTGATCTTAGAGGAAACCAATCTTTGTTCTCTGGGCCCATCTTCTTTTACCCTATATGTCATTCTCTCCTCATCTGGTCTTCAATTCCTTCTGACCATTTTAGATTCTGTGGTCCCTTACTTACTATGCTTATCAGACTTTTGATGATTTTGTTTCTTTTTCCTTTCAACTCACCTACCTAACAAAATCCTAACTCCAAATCAGCTATATTGTCCACCTTCCCTACTAGTAACACCTGCACGCTGAGTACAGAATTATCACATAACATTCTAGACTTTTGTCTTAAGTTCATGGTTCTCAATTTCAACCAGATCCTCAGCCTACCAAACCATCCTTGTTTTCCTAGACGGTTCATTCTCCTCTTCTTGAAAACAGATATTGGATTGAATCATTTGAAATTAATCTTTTTTTTCTCTTGTAAGTCAAAAAGTAGTAATTATCATCAATTTCATAGGGTTCAGCCTAATACTTCAAAAGCTCCCCGTTTGTGCCTCTGGTTCTATCACCTCCTCCCTCCCTCACAACAGGTAAACTCCTACTTTATGGGGATGACATAAATCATCAGACTCCAAAGTCTTACCATCAAAACCCCAAACTCAGTGGCACACACAGACCCTGCGCTCTTTCCTGTCTCCTTCCTTGGGGTCAGTCTCTATACTTCTTGTCTACCTCATATTCCTCTCCGCTTTCCATCTTCTCTGGGACCTCATTCGTCAATCAGCCTCTCTGTCCTTCAACTGTATTTTCACATTCTTCTTTGTCAAATATTCTCCTAATCAGTAAACATGTTTCAGTCTACTTTAAAACAAAATTAAACAAAAGGCTTTCCTCAATCACCAGTTCTACTCAACTACTGCCCTATCTCCACCCTCCTTCCCTTTATGGGGAGTGAACTCCTAAGGTTGCCTTTGTGCCTATGCCTCCCCTGAAATTGTTGTTTACAAAACCATGAATGATAAGGGCACTTACCACTCCTTATCTTACTTGATATCTCAGCAGCATTTAGCACTGAAGACCATTCCCTCTTTCAGAAAAATTAACTCCTTTCTTTACTTGTTCTTATACCACGCATTCTCAACGGGACAATATTGCACCCAAGAGGATGAAAATTGGTTCTTATGGTGCCAAAAACCTTTTTTCACGTACAAAGCACATACCGTGTTTCCCCGAAAATAAGACAGGGTCTTATATTTATTTTTCCTCAAGAAGACACCCTACGGCTTATTTTCAGGGAATGTGTTATTTTTTTTAAGTACGGTACAACAATCTACATTTATTCAAATATAGTTAAGTTGTCTTCTGGAACACCATCATAACTCTCCAAACCTCAAATTCCATCCTGAATTTCTTGTGACTCTATTTCCTTTAGAACCATTGGTCCCAATCTCTCATGTCAAGCAATAGAGCTTTCATGGGGCAGATAAGAAGGGCTGCTCCTCTTCTTTCCTGCTCTGCAATGAAATGCATGGGTTGTGCAGATATGCTGCGTAGCCACGCCCAGCACTAGGTCTTATTTTCGGGGTAGGGCTTATATTGTGCAAATGCTTAGAAATCCTGCTAGGGCTTATTTTATGGGTAGGTCTTATTTTCGGGGAAACACGGTATACACATATCATAAGTCAACAGACAGCATATCTATGCTATTAAAATTTCAAGAAGGGGATGACAAAAGAAAAAGTGTCTCAAAGTCTTCTTAACGTCGTAATAATGAACAAAAAGTTAGAGACACTGCCATATATCCATCACCCAACTTCAACAATTACCAATTTCCCCATCCCCTTCCCCATTTTTATTACTGACGTTGTTAAGAGTATTTCAAAGCCAATACCAGACATCTTATTTCACCTGCAAATAGTTCAGAATTTATGTGCAATAAATAAGGGCTTGTAAAAAACCTTAATCAGATCTAATAAAATTGATAATAATTCTTTAATATCATCTAATACCCACTTTGCATTTAACATTTAAATATTCCTGATTGTTTAAAAAATGTTTTTCCAGTTGGTCTGTTCAGTCAGGATCCATAAAAAGGTTCATACAGTGCATATGGCCAAGTGTCTTTTTAATCTGTAATAGCTTGGGTCATATGTGCCACAGAATTCCCCACTTCTGGTTTTCCATACTCCGTATCCCCTCTAACTTTAGAAGGATCCAGAGACCTGAGTCAGGTTTACTTATGTTGGCAGCCTACTTCAGAGATGGCACTGTACTTCCCCTGGCATCACATCCGCAGACCCTTCGTACCTGACAGTCTGTCCTCTTTTAGTAACGCTAAGGCTCATGGGTGAGTCCAGCATGATCCATTCATTATAAAGTTCCCTGTCAACCTTTCACTTAAAGTTTTGGTAATTTCTCCTGTTTGGAATAATCCTTTTCACAAGCTAGTGAAATAGTTTTGCTCTGCTCTCTCTGGCTACTCCTCCTGAATTGCCTTCCCTTGCCCGGCCTCTAAGTGTTGGTGCTCCTTCAGGGACTCTCGTCTCATTTCACCCTCTCTCCTAGGCTTGAAATGCTACATGCTGAAAGTTCCCAAATGACCATCCCAGGTATCTCTGAGGCTCTGATCATTCATGTGCCTGCTGGACAACTCAGTAAGTGTAAAATTTGAACACATTATCTTTCCCTTCAAACCCGTGCCCATTCTTTGTTCCTTCTCTAAAGTGAAAAGTATCACCAATAACCTAGTTTTTTAAACCAGGCATCTGGGCCTGATTCATAACTCAATCTTTTTTGCTGATACCAATTTGTCACCAACTTCTGCTGAGTCTCTTATACAGCTCTCCAATATGTTAAGTCTTTCTAGCCCCACTGCCAGTATCCTAGTTTAGGTCACCAACATCTTGGATTAACACAACATCCTCTTAACAGATCTCTCTGCCTCTTCAGGGCAACATGTTCATATTCTACATGCCAGATCATTCTAAAACACCTATATGATCACCTCCCTTGCCTATATATATTACCCATCCACAGTGCTCTGCTTCTCTTATAAGAAAGTTCAAAACTCTTTTTTTTTTTTGAGATAGGATCTCACTCTGTTGTCTGGGCCACAGTGCAGTGGTGCAATCATAGTTCACTGCAACCTCAAACTCCCGGGTTCGAGCAATCCTTCAGCCTCAGCCTCCCAAGTAGCTGGGACTACAAGTGCATGCCTCCACATCCAGCTAGATTTTTTTTTTTTTTGAAGAGACAAGGTCTTGCTATGTTGCTCAGGCTGGTCTCAAACTCCTGGCCTCAAGTGATTCTTCCACCTCAGCCTCCAAAGTGATAGGATTACAGATATGAGCCACTATGCCTGGCCTTCAAACCCTGAGAATATGTGTGGCCTGGCCTCTACTTCTCCAGCCTCTTCTTTCAGTACTCTCTATACCATGAGCCACATACCTGTTCTCACCCCCTCAGGTTGCTCTCTCTACTTGGAGTTTCTGGCTATCTCCTACTTATCATTTGCAACTCAGCTTAAGACATTATTTTCTGTGGGAACCTCTTCCCTGAGCCACCTAATATAAGCTGGATTCCTATCTCAGAAACACACACATGGTCCCTCTAATCATCACCTATTTTTCTGTACTCTGTAACTCTTAACTAGACCAAAGCTCCCTGAGGGCTCACATTGTACCTAACTCCTTCACTCGCTCTTCAGTAATTGGGGCACATGGTTCATGACCAATAAATATTAGCTGAATAATGAGTATTATTATTAAAAATCCTTCAATATCACTCTTAGGACATCACATCATGACCTATGAAAGTAAACTATGGTACTTAAAGTATCATATGGTAACTATAATAATTTCTTAATGATTTACTACTACTAACCTCTATTTGCTGAATTCTCAAATTGGAAATCAAGTCCCAACGAGCTGCTCCATTTTTGTCATATCCTCTGAAACCAAATCCTGCAGCATTATTAATAGCATCAGCTGTAGCAAACAAAGAAAAATATATTAAGAACCTCTGTAACAATCTACCATATTCTCCAAAAATGGTGTATGTTATTATATATTGTGATCATTTATTATTAAATAGTAAAAGTAGGTTCATTCTAATTTTTAGGAGAGGTCAGAAACATTATCACATAAGACGAAAATAATGACCTCATCCAGAACAGTTTAGTTAGCCAACAAAACATCAGATATTAAGCCGAAGTTGAGGCAACGTAGAGTTTAAAAACTGGGAGGACCAATGGGCTAATGGGGAAGACTCCACATAGGAAACACTTTCCAATACTAGAATGCTCCACTGAAATACAGTGGAGTAAGCTCAGTCATCTGTCAAGAAACCGCCAAGGGGATGTTTTGCCCTGGGATCACCGTGTTCTTTTTAATCTCATAATGGATCTCTACTATAGAAAAGAATATATAAGCGAGGTATAATATTTTCATTCCATATTTTTTCTTTATTGGTTCACCAGAACCCACTCTATGTATTAATATATGTCTCCAGAATTTGTTTTCTAATCCTTTTCACCACAATGCTCAATAAGTCAATTTTGCTCTATATGCCTATTTGATTAAACTTTAAGGAAAGTTTCTGCCTCAAATGAGCCTTTTTCTAATCAGCTGAAAAAGTGTTTATGATTTATGCTATTGGTGTCATGACTAAAGAATAGACTGAAACCCATCAAAACCCATGGATATAATATGCCTACATGGACATGGATCCTAAATTGTTTCATGGCTTACTAGTGCTTTTTAGTAAATCAAACAAGACTTTTAAAAGATTATACCTTGGGGAAAAAGGAATAAAATAAGCACGATTCATCCCCTGTCAGGTTTAATGAGGTCAGCAGCCTTTGGTCAAATAAATACAAGCCTTTAAGGTAAGCTTATCAATATAGTCACATTCATATTCAATAGGATTAAAAATAAAATCTATTAATAATATGGGCTGCACACCAACCCAAATGGCTGCTGGAGAACTTCTTCCTCCCTCATGGCTGCCACCACTTCTGATTTCCTCACTTACTCCATCTCTCCATCTTTTTTGCCTACTGCAATCAGAAAGCAACTTAACTCCTAACCAACTTCTCATCTGACAATAGGGTGTGGTCAACAGCGACTCAGAGAGAACTGGGGAAATCAAACTGCAGCATCAACCCTCCATGTACCTCTGTCCCCCCAACTCCCATCACAGCCTGCTCTACCTCAGGTAACCTAACTCCTGAGAAAGCTTCCACGTTGTCATTAACATGAAGATGAACTTAGCAATCTGTGATTCCAAATAATTCACCATTAACATAAATTTAAACCTTAACCTGTCCCTACATGGGCTAAGTCAATATTTTCTAAACTTGAGTTAAAAGGGGAAAACTACTGAGATCCCAATAAATCATTTTTTGAAGTGGTAAAGAGGACACAGCCACAGGGATGAGACTAGAGGCCTGATTCCTGCTTTGAGAAACACTGAATTAAGAGATTAAACAGTCTAGGTAGCCACTTAGTATCAACAAAATTGAAACTTAAAAAATGCATATGTGGACACTAACATCAGCAAGGTAATTATCCACATGATCCAGAATATACTTACATTGTTCTTTAAATAATTATCATCAAAATGCACAAACCAAATTAAAGAATTTTGGAACTCTCAGATTCCCAAAAACACATTTTTGGACTTTCAGAAGTCATTAAACTCCAATTTGAGAACCAAAAAGTCAGTGGGGCTTGGCACAGTGGTTCACGCCTATAATCTCGGCAGTCTGAGAGACTAAGACAGGAGGATCACTAGAGCCCAGGAGTTTGGGAGCAGCCTGGGCAACATAGCTCATATCTATAAAAAACAGAAAAAAACACCCAGGTATGGTGGTGCATGCCTATAGTCCCAGCTACTTGGGAGGATAGGACAGGAGGATAACTTCAGCCCAGAAGTTTGAGGCTGCAGTACAGTGAAGCCGTGTTTCAAAAAAAAAAAAAAAAAAAAAAGTCAGTGGAGAGCAGAGATGAATGTGTGCACATGGGTGCCAAGCCTTTCAATCAGCTTCTCCACTGACACAACATCAAAATGTAGACTTCAGGGTTTAACCATTACTAGGACCTAAACCATTACTTGCATTGATTAAGACAGTACAGACATAGTATGAGTATTTATTGAACTGAATAACCTTATAGACTCATAGCTAAGAATTATTTAAATTCTTTAAATGTAGTTCAAATTGTTACTCATATATTATATATTCTAATATATTTCCGTAAGGAGGAATCAGGGAAAAAGAATCAACTCACATTTTCTTGGTTTTTCAAACCAAATATTGGGGCTAGGGGATCAGAAGTCCCCTAAGAATCATTTTAATTGTCATAACTAAGAAATAATTAATGAAAACTCATCATTTTTCCATATTTACAAAGATCTTATGATTTCCTCAAAAGCCATATGAATTCAATGACCTTATTCTACTGCCAGTAGATTTTCAACAGTTAGAAGTCCAATCAAACTGAAGAATATGCAGAACTCTTCTATAACACTAGTGGTTTAACAAATAGGTCACATTTCTTAGAAAACCCTAAAAATTCTAGGTTGGTGTGGAAAATTCCTAGTTTCAATTGAAAGTCAGAATTTAAGTACTATAGAAATCTTATTTGGTATTATTGATGTTCATATTTGGCTAGAATAAAAACTTTCAATCCTTAAAGAAGTATTAGTTTAAAACCTATACAAGGTAACATTATATATTTTAATTGACTATGAAAATGCCAGGCCAAAGTAACTTTTAATGATGCTACTGTGTGCAATTGTATGACAAAAGACTAAAAACACTGATTCCAGTCCCAAACTATAGTTCATGCAGTCAATAATAAAATGTCAGTTCCCAGGCCTTTTTCTTGGCCTTGTCTGACTGATGTGCTTCTTCATACATCCATTCAAATATTCGTCGAGTACCAAATATAAACAAGTCGAGCAGGACACAAGAATAAAGGGGTTTATAATCTTGTGGGTGAGATAAAAGACAACACATATGAAGAGTTTTCAATTTATCCAGTGAAGTGACTCTCCATTTCAGTCCAACCTCCAAAATGTGGCCAGAATTATCTTCTTCAGACATAGGATCAGGCCACCAACCTGCCTGAAGGCTCTCGTGGCTTGTTTGGCAGAGCAGGCAAGGTCTTGTGAAAGCCCTGTTTCTCCTTCCCAGTTCCCTCTTTCCTGCATGGCCGCTGCTACACCTGTCACAGAAAGCAAGGCACTTCCATGCCTCTTCATTCACGAGTGCAAAACTAGCCACTTTCCACTTGCTGAAATCAAGTCAATCTTAAAGGCAGAACTGAATGCTATCTTTTTTCTAATACTTAATCTACCTGCCAAGCATAAATGACTACCCACATTCAGTGCACCAATATCATTTTATTGCTCATAAAGTATTAAGCATATTATACTATAGTTAATAGTCTAATATATATCATAATGAAGGGTTTAATAGCATATTATAGTTTAAGCATCTTGAAGGTAGAGGCTATGTCTTATACGTATTAGTATCTATTTTGGCTAGCACAGAATCTAGCATATAACAGGCACACAATATGTATCTGTTATCTTTTCATTGATCCATTGACTTATTTCAACACTTAAACAGAAAAGTCTATTCACATGTTACTCACCTAACGTCCATGCAAAATAGTATTTGGGTCTGGCAGCCAACAGAGAGACATACAGATAGGTCACCTTTGTTGGCCATGAAGCTGTAGCTTGAAAATGCTCATCAATGTTGTACTCCACAGGCAATGTTTTAGAGATGGTCAAGTGAAACAATAAGGAAAGTCCACAGACTAACAGCTTCTGAATAACTGCAACCTGTAAAGTGTAAGATGAAATTTCAGAAACTTCACCCATACTCCTTTTAATTCATTTTACGTATTATCAACAGATTAGTCTTCTGAATGTAGCATCAATCTATAATTGTCCTGGTCAAAAATCAAGAGCTTCACTGCATTTAGTATTTAAAGACCTCCAAGGTCTCACAGTATGAACATTTGCAAACTTATCTATAAGTACTATCTAAGAATTATGGCTCAACTCATATTAAAACATCAATTTGTGTTTTCACAACTTCCAGGAAATAAAAAAATCTAAAAACAGGTATAAGTATATAGGTGTGAATGGAAGTGGATACCCAAAAATTCATATTAATTTATTTTGGTAGATTTTATATGAAAAATGACATTTTTTACATTGTGCTTTTTCTACATTTTCCAAATTCTAGGCATTTCATGGACATTAGTTTTACAATAAACAATCTATACAACTCTTTAAATCTGAAAGTTAACATAACTTTGTTCAAGAATGATAAAACTAAAAGAGCTACACACGAGAACACTAAAGATTTATATCAAAGACTCTGATGAAAAGAAGAGGCTATTCTTTGCAATATTATGGTAAGGTTAAATTACCAACTCATAGCATTTTGTATTTTTAGAAGGCCAGAACATTTCAACCTCATTTAGTATAAAAGAGATTATACACACTGTGAAGGAAAAGAAACAAGTAGAAAAAAGAAAAGGCTAGATTCAGATGAAGGTATGTAACAAAATGCCTGGGTTTACAGTCCCTGATATAATAACCAAATAATATTCAAATTAACTGAAGTAACTCATAAATGAAGATCCATATTTTAACACACTATGTAACAGTGCCAACAGAATGGCTCAAAGCATATGCTATATTCATTGCACTTCTAAAAAAACTGTTTTATTTGTAGGTTGCTCTTGCTAGGTGGTACTGACTATCCAAGGACTCCTTGTGGCAATTGTCATTATTCTCATTTTCCTGGCTACCTTTTTTTTCTTTTTCTTTTTTTGAGACAGAGTCTGGCTGTGTTGCCCAGGCAAGAGTACCTGGGCTAGAATGCCGTGGCATCAGCCTAGCTCACAGCAACCTCAAACTCCTGGGCTCGAGTGATCCTTCTGCCTCAGCCTCCCGAGTAGTTGGGACTATAGGCATGCACTACCATGCCTGGCTAATATATTTTTTCTATATATATTTTTAGTTGTCCAGATAATTTCTTTCTATTTTTAGTAGAGACTCACTCTTGCTCAGGCTAGTCTCGAACTCCTGACCTTGAGTGATCCTCCAGAGTGCTAGTGGGCTACCTTTTAAATCTTTCTCTAATAATCTAAGGTTATCTTTCTTCAATCTTCCCCCAACTATCTTACCTATACATTTGAATAAAAAAGATTTTAAAAAGGTAATTAGAGAAAAATTATAATTATAAATGAAGGGAGATGAGAACAGCCATACATTAACCTAACAATGAGATATATCATTTGAGTAATGTAATAAGAAATACTGTGGCCATTAAACTACACACAAAGTTTGTAGGTCTCAGTTTATTTTATTTTATTTTTTTTGAGACAGAGTCTCACTTTATTGCCCAGGGTAGAGTGAGTGCCATGGCGTCAACCTAGCTCACAGCAACCTCAAACTCCTGGGCTCAAGCAATCCTGCTGCCTCAGCCTCCTGAGTAGCTGGGACTACAGGCATGCGCCACCATGCCCAACTAATTTTTTCTATATACATTAGTTGGCCAATTAATTTCTTTGTATTTATAGTAGAGACAGGGTCTCGCTCTTGCTCAGGCTGGTTTTGAACGCCTGACCTCCAGCAATCCGCCTGCCTCAGCCTCCCAGAGTGCTAGGATTACAGGCGTGAGCCACTGCACCCAGCCTAGGTCTCAGTTTAAAAAGAAAAAGAAAACTAAGGTAACATAAACCTGATCTCAGCTACCAAGGGCCATGCATACCAATGAGAATCCCAAAATAGGATCAGTCAAGGCAGGCATCAGGTATCATGGAAGGCAGGATGGATGGGGAGAACTAAATTTGGGAGGAGGGCTAGTAGAAAGCCAGGTATAAACAAGTTTCTATAGCCTCTCTGCTTAGTGAGGTGGATGATACGTGTGCTTGTAAAAAGCCACCTTCATATATATATATATATATGCCTTATATATAATATATATAAGAGATGTATTATAGATATAATTATATGTAAAATAAGTACATATTACTATACATAAGATATATTATAAATGTAAAATCACCTTATTTCATATATATATATATAAGATACATAGGTACATATCTCTTAGTAGGGTGGATACCCCCACCATTCTAGCAGGAAGCCAGAGAATATATATAACCACAGAACATACAGGTTAGGAACATGGGTCTGGAGCAGGGCTGGGGTAGGTGCTGGAACAAAAATGTGGAGAACACAGAAACAGCCATATCCTGAGAGGTGATATGACCAGCCCCCTTCTCCTGCCCAGCTCCAGAGTCCCAGTAGTCAACTTTGTGTGCCACAGGAAGAAGACCAGAGGATCAAAAAACAAAATAGCCCCAGAGAAACAACATATAGACATCATGGCAGAGACTGATGGGGGTTGACCAGGAGCCATCCTCCCTTTCCTACAGAGCAAAGGAATTTTTACTTGTGCACTTGGAAGTCTAGTTGAAGACGACATGTCACAGCCTCTTGAGGAGCTCAACGTGGCTGTGTGATTATGTGCTGGTCAATGGGATGTAAACAAAAGTAATGTGAACAGGGAAAACAGAGCTTGGCTCTCCAATGCCATGGGGCTGCCCTATTATCCATGCACAGCTTACATCTGAGTTGTCATGTGACAGACCGTTATTTTGGTCCTTGTTTCAGCAGCTAAACCTCTGTCTTAACTCATAAAGACAACTGGGAGGTCACCAACAAAAGAGGCAGCTGGCTACATGACTATCCTACTTTAGATCCTAAGAGTCTACAAACCCCACTGGTACACAGAGTGCTTACAAATGCCTTTAGAGGGATTTATGAATAACTACTACTATTTGACTCTGTCAACTATATGCATATGGAATTTAAAGAAAAATATATTAGAACAATGAGATAACCCATTAAGAATATCTGCCATTAGCAACAACCTCTGATTTATGATGTCTGTAACCCAAAAGAGGAAGAAAATGACATTTTATGAGAGTGAATCTCTTAAAAACTCAGAATAAGGTGATAGAAGCAAAATATAAATTTGTATTATTCTTTGTTGACTTTGATTTACTACTACTCACGTGTTTATATAGCACTTGATATTTTTCAAATATTTTACAAAACTATTTGCTCTTTATATCGTCTCTAAAATGGGGAAGACACTAAGATTCTCCTTTTGCAGAAAGGGACCCACACACAGTAAGTGCTGTGCTATTAATACAATGATAAAGCTGAACTGGTAACTGAGAGCTCAGCGTCTTGATTCCTAGATTTTAATTCTCCTCTCAATATTCCAGAATAAACTTCTAAGAAGCTGTCTAAAATTATCTTTACTGTCTCTGAGGGCAGTGAGACCTCTACAGGTTGAAGTGATCAGCCTGGAGATACCAGTCTGAAATTCAACCCAATTTGATATGGCATTTCCCAATCAACACTTAACCAATAATACAAAGTATGAAGACAAAAACCCCTTTTTGGTATAAAATACACAATGAGTCACATAGTAGAAAAGAGGGAATATAATGGCTTTTGTGAATGGGTGCAAGTTTCTTCATTCACTCTTCATTGCCCACACAAATGGAGGATGGTAGGTTTGCAGGGAAAAGGGGGCTTTGCTCTAAGCCCCACATTCAGAGAAAACATTAGTTCTTTCTCTTTGTCTCACAGACTTTCTGCCTGGCCTATTACTTTTCATGGAACATTTAGATTCAACCAGATCAAATCCAATAGAAACTTAGCCTACACAAAGACTCATAGCCTTTCTTTACGAAGCAGCATCTCATGAGTTCCAAGTACCTCAGCAGTGTGAAAGAAGAAAGAAGTAAAAACTATGTTCAGTTGTGAGGCAATTTAGTGCAGATTTTGGATCCAGACTGAACTGGTTTGAATTCTAGTTCTCCTATTGCCAACCTGGGAAATCCTGGTCAAATTAGCCACTGAGTCTCAGTTTTCTCATCTGTTACAATATGAAGTAGAATAATAGCACCTACTTTGTAAGACTACTGTGAAGATGGAAAGAGTAACTAACTACATGTGAGGTGCTCACAGCAGTACACGTAGCTCTGAGTCGGGTGGTGCAAAGGCAATGTATGTAACCAAAGCGTTTATAACCCTGTAATATTTTGAAATAAATAATAATAAAAAAAACAGTGCATGTGGCAAGAGCTGTCAAAGTGTTAGCTATTAATCTCTTTATTGTGCGAATTAGTAACAGTTTCGTGAAAAAGGTGATACTTTAAGAAGACCTTTAAAGATGAGTAAGATTTCAATAGGTAATGATTAAGAAGAAAAGCAGAAAAGGAAAGGAGAACACAGAGTATTTGGAATTTGCTAGAACATAAGGCATAGATTAAAAAAAAAAAGGCCCGGAAAATTAGGTTGGCTAATTCCATAAGAAGGGCTTTCTTGTAAAATTACTCTATAACTATAAAGCATCATTCTCATTAAGGAATTCGGCATGTAGTTTCTTAAGTAACCTTATTTTTGTTCTTTAATTATGACTGTACTTCTACTAGCCATCACTACTAGGTAGAATGTGAAGAGTCGTTTATCTTGAAAAATGTTTTTAAAGATATAGGTAAATTCAAAACATGGAAATATTAGTATTTTTAAATAAATAAGACTAACCAACACATGCTCTAAAGGCTCCAGATAAATCTCATGACCTTACATTTGGAGATGGCTCTGTTTTTTCACATTGTATTTCTTCCTTTCCATTTTCACCTGATTGTATCATATGGTATGATCTGCCTTCAATGAAAGTAATGTAGTCTTTGTAAGAGCAGAGTGGGCCTGCCAGGATACCCATGAAGTTACAGTTGTAACTTAAATACTCCAGTAGGCTTGGCATGCGCCTGCAACAAAAAGACATACAACTTGTGAGAGATAAGCTTTCAGAAAATCTGATAGAAATAATAATCATCTACACTCACTACTCTTACCATTTGCAAAATAAGACAATCTTTAATTGTCATTTGCATTCCATACAGTAAGAATTTAAAAGATGTGGATGTAGTAATGCTCAATAGTAGTTTTGAATAAGAGTTTCTACAGAGATCTTTATGAACAAATATGAAGGGTTTCTACTTAGATTTCTCACAATAAAACAAATCCAAGACAGATCTGCTATCACAGAAAATATCATCTCTTACTAGTCAATCACTTGCTCATTTAATAAATGTATGCTGTGCACTGTGCCTACTGTGCTCCAGGGTCTGGAGATACAGCACTAAACAAAACAGAGGAAAATTCTGTATTAATGGCACTCACATCCCAGTTGCAGAAAATAGATAATAAAAAATACACATAAAATATTTCCAGAGATGCTAAGTGCTACAAAGAGAAGGTATTTTTATTACATTAAGATGTCAGAGAAGGCCCCTTTGGTAAGGTGACATTCGAGCAGAGACAAGGAGGAAGTGAGAGGAGTCATGTGGCTGTCTGTGACAAGGATTCCAGGCAGAAGGGATGATGAGTGGGAGATCCCTTAGCTGGGCACGGCTGGCAGTAAGGAGGTGGTGAGGCTGGAGTAGACAGAACCCAGGGAAAGGATGGGAGGAGAGGTGGAGAGCTGCGGTGGAACCACGTGGGGCCTGCCTTTTAAACCATGGTAGGAACGTCAGGTTTTATTCTGCATGAGTTGAAAAACCATAGTAGGTTTTAAAAGACCTATGTTTCAGGCCGGGCGCGGTGGCTCAAGCCTGTAATCCTAGCACTCTGGGAGGCCGAGGCAGGCGGATTGCTCGAGGTCAGGAGTTCGAAACCAGCCTGAGCAAGAGCAAGACCCCGTCTCTACTATAAATAGAAAGAAGTTAATTGGCCAACTAATACATATATATAAAATTAGCCGGGCATGGTGGCACATGCCTGTAGTCCCAGCTACTCGGGAGGCTGAGGCAGAAGGATTGCTTGAGCCCAGGAGTTTGAGGTTGCTGTGAGCTAGGCTGACGCCACGGCACTCACTCTAGCCTGTGCAACAAAGCGAGACTCTGTCTCAAAAAAAAAAAAAAGACCTATGTTTCAAAGCATCACTCTGGCCCCTGTGTGTGGACCCATCAGGAGTGGGGAAGCCACCAGGCAGGTGACAATGGCTGGAGGAGAGGGGCAGTACACTCTGCACATACCCTGGTAGCAGAGCTGGGGTCTGCTGAAGGATGGGCTGTTGGGTATGAGGGAGACGGGAGTCAAGGATGTCTCACAACATTTTTAATTCAATTGCTTTGAAATCTGCACAAATGGCACATGGCATCTACTGGTAACAGGGTAAAATGGTTAGTTAACACAGGAGACTATTTAGGCTTTCTGTGTTATCTAAATGAATAAGGAGTATATATTTTTATAGCTCCATTAATCAAGTCTACAGTCCGCTGTCAATTATAAACTATCACAAATAAAAGAACTATACCTGGAGATAGTAAGTAGGATTCTCGAACATGTTACAATCCCTTTTTTCTCTCTAAATATAAGTTGTCTCCTCTAAAAGCATAAACATTCTTTGTGAACAAGAGTTGAAAGAATATTTTTATATATAGTATGCATCATTTTTAATTTATTTTTTAAATAGACAAGGTCTTGCTACATTGCCTAGGCTGGACTCGAACTCTTGGGCTCACGGGATCTTCCTGCCTCAGCCTCCAGAGTAGCTGGAACTACAGGCACAACCATGCCTGGCTCAGTACATATTGTTTTTATTGAAAAAACAAAACAAAACAAAACAAACAAACAAAAAAAAACCAATAGAACAACATAATGTTTCCTGCACATCTGATACTATCTAGGTTACCCCTCAACCAAAACTCCTTTTTTAATTTTTAAGAATTTTTTCTCTACATTTTAAAATGTTTTATCTTAAATATTTTCTTTTTAGGGCTCATAATTGATGACAGAAAATATTTCTGATAGATTTTCTCTTTCAGTTCTTTCTATTTAATGTTGAAACAGAGCAAGCACCAGAGCAAGTACCTGCAATCACAGAGTTGGAAGAGTTCCTTGTACTCCAGCAGCAGAGCTCCATTCTCAATACCAATCATTTTAAGACCAAGTCAAACTATGTAACATACATTTCAAGGACAGGAGATAATTTGTAACCACAAAATTGGCTGAAGGAATTTTTGGCTCAACTGTTATATCACAAACAACAAGTTATTTTATGGACTGAAGTAATGACCCATAATATTTGCTATTAAAATGAGAACTTAGGTCTAATTATTATATTTCATTTATAATCTTAAACAAAAGATTCACTCATTCATTTATTCCATCAACATTTATTTGACATCAACTATGTGTTATCTCAAGTGAGGGCTTCTCAACTACAGAATTACTGACATTTTGGGCCAATGATTCTTTATGGTAGGGGACTTCCTTGTGCACTGCAGGTGTTTAGCAGCATCTGTAGCCTCTACCCACTAGATGTCAGTAGCATCACCCCTCCTAGTTGTGACAACCAAAAAATGTCTCCAGAGATTGTCAAATGTCTCCTGGAGGCCAAATCACTCCCAGTGGGAACCACTATTTAGGTGATGGGAACATTTGCAGGGTTAGGGAAAGGGACAATTAAATATATTATGTAACATCAGACAGCAATATGTATTATGAAGATAGACAAACCGGGACAAAGGGACAGACAGCCATGGCAGGGAAGGGAGGGGATTTCTGACAGGTGGCCTGTGCAGTTAGAAGTGGACTGAGGGAAAAAGGGAGACTGGGGGAGCATCGGGCCTGTGGGGGCATATGTGCTGCAATCAAAAGTGTGTCCTTCTATTCTAAATTACAGGGGAAGCTATTGGAGGAGTTTCATCAGGAGAGGGGAATAATATAATCCAACGCACACTAAAAAGATCTCTGGCTGTGAAGTGAAAAGTAGGCTGCAGAAGGCATGAGAGAAAACAGAGAGATCAGTTAGGGAAGCTACTCCAGTAGCCCAAGTAGAAAATGAGGGTTTAGACTGGGACCAAATGAAAGGGAATGATGAGAATCAGTCAGATTAGAGATTAGAAAGGGCTACCTTGACTTGCTGGTGGATTTGCAGTTAAGGAAATGAGTGTCTGCCTAAATTTTTCCAAGCTACTACTGATAAATGGCATTGCTATTAGGTAAGTGGGTGACAATGGTGAAGGAACAGAGCAGGGGACAGGGAGGGAAGTGGGAGATACAAATCAGAAGTTCTGTTTTGAATATGCTTTATTTGAGATGGCTGTCACTAGCCATGGAAACATGTTGAAAGGACTGTTGGATATGACAGACTGGAGCTCAGGAGAGAGGGTTGGGGTGGGAATACAAATTTAGGAGACTCCAAACATGTAGATGGTCTTCAAAGCCATGGACTGTCTGTGATTAACTGGAGAAAATTGAGAAGTCCAGGGCTGAGCTCTGGTGCACATCAAGTTAGTGGTGAGGCAGAGGCTTCTGCAAAGGAGGCAGAGAGAACGAGCCAGTTAAGGGTGGAGGAAAATCAAAAGAACGTGTCCTGGAAGGCACATGGAAGAGATATTTCAGGATGAACCAGTCAACTTGGCCAATGCTGCCAAGAGGCTGACCATCAGGCAAACTGAAGCCGGTGGCAAAATGTGCCAAGACTGAGGCAACTCTGAAAGAATGATTTTAGACCAAGAGTGGGAATAAAATCCTGACTGCAGGGCACTGATGAGAAAACGGGAGGTGAGGAAGTAGAGAGAGTGTAGACAAGCTCTCAAGGAGTGTTATTCTAAAGGAATGTGGAGTAGTTGAGTGGTAGCTAGAAGGGAGTGTGGTATAAAGCAAGCCTTTTCTTCTAAGTTGGTGGGAATTATCCAGCAGAAGGAGAAATTGATGATTCATGATGCAAGAGACAGGAGTTTAACTGAAGCAGCAAGATCCCTGAGGAGGTAGATTCAGAGTAGAAGTGAAAAATTGGCCTAGATTAGATACCAGGAAAGAAAGTAGAGTGTTTTGTTACAGACTCAGGTAGTTTGGTAGATTTCATGGTTGCAGAATGAAGTGGGGCTGCTTTTATTTTTTCCAAAAGATAAAATTTTTCTACCATCCTGAGTACGGGGGAGGGAGTGTTAGAAGTCTGGGGAGAAAGGAGAATAAATCATTTTACAAGAGAGTGGGAAAGTGAGTAGGCTAAGGAAATGTAGCAGAATTGCTGGCAATACTAAGGACTGTAATTTTAAATTTGGGGTAACAAATTCAAAATTTAAGTCCAGTCAGCAAGACTGAAATGTATTTCTACTCAGCTTCCCTCCACTGTTCAGGTAGGTGGAGAGCTGGATTTAACTAGCTTTGGGATTTATGAGGTGGCTATGTGAGAAGAAAGGGGGAAAGAGGAGCTGAGAGTCCATAGTGAGCAGTTACTGGGATGGCCCAAGGGCTCCTAGAGATCACGAACACAGACCAAATTAGCCTCTCATCAGTTAAGTATACTCAAGTACATATTTACTGACCCATAAAGACTATAGAGAATATCAAAATAGAATTTTTTTTAAAGTGCCAGTGTCTTGCTATGTTGCCCTGGCTGGAGTGCAGTGGCCAGTTCATACCTCACTGCGGCCTCAAACTCCTGGGCTCAAGCAATCTCCCTGCCTCAGTCTCTCAAGTAGCTGAGACTACATGGGTGCACCACCACACTGAGCTCACAAGAGAATATTTTTACAGATGAAGAAAATATAAGTAAATCCCCAAGACATGTTACCTGGATCAAAGACTTAGTGTAGGTCTATCTACTATCACAAACTTAATCTCATTATTCTATCAGCTACACTGGTATTACTTCTAGATTTAGAAACAAGGTACTCCATAGGAAATTTTCTTTAAGTAAAATGAGTATTTGAGCCCTAATTATATTAGACTGAGATTAAATTCTGCCAAGAAATTAAGCCATTTTTGCATTAGTCATCAGAGTATCTATAATAAATGAAGTAGAAGCTTATCCCAGAACACGTTCCTCAAATAATAATGAGAAATATGTGACTCGTTCTTCATGTTGTCAAATGTGGCATCTACATGCTATATTAATGTACTATACCTTAGCCCACTATCTGCCATTACTGGTCTATAAACAGTAGCTGCTATGATTACTAGTAACTACTACATGGCAGTCATGAAGGCTGTACCATGTTCCTGTTTTCAACGAACTCAGAGTCTCATAGAGACAAAAAAATTAGCAGATAGCCTTGTGGTCCACAGGAGGTGCACAGTGTACAGTGACACAGGCAAGGTGCTATAGGAGCCTTAGGAGGGATGCCTAGGCCAGCTGAGGGAGGTGTGCAGAGGTAGCAAGGTTTGGTTTTCAGAAGTTAGTACCTCTAGAAGGACCAGTAAGCCTTAGCCAAATAACCAATATGCGTTCTAGGCAGAGAAAGGCAAAACCCTAGCAGGATACGATGCAAAGCACATACCTTACAGCCAAACCCCTCTGTGACGGAGTCAGTTCTTCATCCTTTCGAAACATACCTGAGAAGCAAAAATAGGTACTTTGATCAATTATGATTTCCATCAAGAATGGTATTTTTTCCCATTCATAGTTTCACTGCTTTCCTCATTTGAAATTCATGCTCTATTCCCAATTTTGACAGAATGATTGTTCCTCTCTTTCCCATGGCAACATAGACACAATCATGTGAAAGATCTCTAAGATAAATAATATATTGTCAGGAAACAAAAGTCACTAAAATCTAATTCCTCTCTAAAGGAAATTATTAATAAATTTAAAAATTCAAATTTATTATCCTTAATACTAAATGCTATAACTTTTCAAAAGGAGGCACTAAAATTCTTCTATTATTGGATGATTTAAATGATTTGAGGTTTATGATAAGGATCATCACAGCCTTATTCATAATAGCAAAATAACAAAAAAGTAACAACCTAGATATACAACAATTAGGGAATGAGAAAGTAAATAATTATATATCTACTTTTGACAATTATATAGAAAAGAAAACTATGCCTTATAAGAAGATAAAGTGGATCAAATATTAATAAAAAAGGTTGGCTTGGCACTGTGGCTCATACCTATAATCCCAGCACTCTCACTTGAGGCCAGGAGTTCAAGACCAGCCTAGGCAACATAGTGAGATCCCCATCTCTTAAAAAAAAAAAAAAATTAGCTGGGCATTGTGGAAGGTATCTGTAATTCTACCTATGATTGTGCCACTGTACTTTATTTAGCCTGAGCAACAGAGCAAGACTCTGACTGTCTTTAAAAAAAAAAAAAAAAAAAAAAAGGTCTGGCTCTGAGGAGTGTTGGAGGAGGGACATGGACATCCTTTATTTTTTATTTGTGCTTATATGTATTTTTCAAATTTTCTTCAAAGAGCATATACCTAATTTTTGTAATCAGAAGGGGAAAAAAAAAAACCACTTAAGATGATTGATAATGAGGAAAAAGTAAAACATCATCAGGAGGTAAGCCCAAAAGGATAATTGCTACCTTTGATAATTCTACTTTCTGTTCCTGTATCAGATACTCACATTATTGTCTACCCTTTCCTAAAAAAATAAGAGCTATCTTTAGAAGTGAGAATCAGTATTTTTTTTAAAAAAATCTCTTTATCTTTCGCCATGCAAGTAGCATGTTAACAGCTTCATTTGTGATTTCAAGCTTTGCTATATATGAAATATTTTAAGTTTAATTCAGCATTTCTAAGTGTTTGGTACAATGTGGGGCTTTTGGTTTAATCTGTCATCTTGACCAGAGAGGCTATTATCATTTTAGAATTCTTAACTAACCAAGGAGAGTAAATATACAGCTTAAAGGATGGATTTTCACAGAACAAATCTGTGTTAAAAGTCTACATGCGCAAGTCCAGCCTCCCTTCTCAGTTCAAACTTTGGGAACTTGCCAATAGAATGCCCAAAAACCAATTAAAGACAAGATATCACTTTTTTAAAGCTAGAAGTCTATCCAAGTACAAATTACACAGTCCCACATATGATGAGAAACAAGAAGTCTCTGAACACCAACACGAAGTCACACTGTAGGTGGAGATTGAGAGCCCGCTGCTGCGGGCTAATAGCTGATACAGGAGTTGTGGTATTGCTCTTGTGCTGCTTCGTCACCCTGAACACATTGCTTTCTCACTGTATTGACAGTATGTCATATTTTTTACTGGTAAGTACTTACGTGTGAGTAAGTATGAAAAGATGACTGCTTATCAGTTGCATGTAAAATCAGAGTCAGGAAAAAGCACCACAGACTGTGGCTGACAGAGTGACACCTTTACTCTCTGATGGTTTAGTGTACATAAACTTGGTTTCATGAACAAAATTATTAAAAATATTATACAAAATTACCCTTGGGCTATGTATATAATGTATGTATGAAACATAAATGAACTTTTTATTTAGACTTGGGCTCTATCCTCAAGGGATCTCATTATATATATGCAAATATTCCAAAATCCAAAACACTTCTGGTCTCAGGCATTTCATATAAGGGATATTCAACCTGTACAAGTACCCAGCTAGGCTGACATATTCCTATTATGAAGTGACATCAATGAAGCTGCTAGCAAGAAGACCAGCTACGCTATCCGTAAAAGCCACACTACAAGTCAGACCAAACATACTACCAGGTTGTTTTAGTCATCCATCCTAAGCCCTCAGCAATTTCACATACATGATTCAAAATTAGAAAGGCATTCTGGGAGGCCGAGGCGGACGGATTGCTTGAGGTCAGGAGTTCGAAACCAGCCTGAGCAAGAGCAAGACCCCGTCTCTACTATAAATAGAAATTAATTGGCTAACTAATATATATATGGAAAAATTAGCCAGGCATGGTGGCACATGCCTGTAGTCCCTGCTACTCGGGAGGCTGAGGCAGTAAGATTGCTTGAGCCCAGGAGTTTGAGGTTGCTGTGAGCTAGGCTGATACCATGGCACTCACTCTAGCCTGGGCAACAAAGCGAGACTCTGTCTCCAAAAAAAAAAAAAAAAAAAAACTAGAAAGGTAGGTGGGCTCTGTTATGTGAGGATGATGAAACATCTTAAAAACCATGTCTAGAATTTTTCCAAGATAAAATAACACCTGCTCCCTGAAGCTGCAAGTATGAATGATGCTACTTGGCAGTTCAGAGATAGTTATAAATACATTTGGTTTCATCTAGGTGTGGTCTAGAACCAAAAAGATTGGGCAGAAAAGAATTAACATAGTTCTAAGACTGCTATCCTTAGAAGGGCCTGCTTGTTAAGGTTAGCTCAGGGTTGGTGTCTGGAAACGTGGCTGGTAAAAACAGTCCCCTACACTGATATAAAATATTCCCTATGCCTAGACTGTTTGTGCCAACATTATGGTTTATTCTGAACACATGCTTCCTTCTTGAGAGCCTGGAATTTTGTTACATGCTAGGCAATGGGTGCCTATGTAAGCAGCCCCCAATAAAAACTGGGGGTACTGAGAGTCTAATGAGCTTCTCAGGTAGACATTTCACAGGTGTTGTCACAACTCATTGCTGGGGGAATTGAGCATGTTCTCTGTGACTCCACTGGGAAAGGACTCTTGGAAACGTGTGCCTGGTTTCTCTAGACTTCACTGCAGATGCCTTTGCTTGGAATCTTTTCACCATAATAAATCTTAGCCATGAATTCAACTACATGCTGAACACTATGAATTATCCAACTAGGGGTAGTCTTGGGGTCCCTCAATACACAGATAATAAGGCCCTCCTCTGTAAGACTAGCTGAGAAAACACAGGACAGGGTTTGATCCCTCCCTTGGGCATACAGGGGCAGGTGGTGTGGGGGTGTGGCAGGCTTACAGCACACTGTCTAGCAGGCTGTACTGAATCAAACTGGAGGAAGAACCACTTTGAAAAGCCAAAGAGTGTGAATTCCTCAAATCTTGTCAAGTTAATCAAAATCCAAACTATTCTAAAGAGATAATTACCATTAAATCCATTTAAAGAACAAGTCACAAAATGGAGTCCTATTGTACTTCTAACTCTGAGTTGAACACATATTGTCATCAAATGCTTCTAGGCCCACAGACAAAATCATATCCCTGATCCATGGGATATGGATTTCCTATATTCTCCTTCCAAAGTCACAGGAGTAGCCTGTGATCAGCACAATGCAGAAGTGTCAGTGCCCAGAGCAACTGTCTGCTTTCACCTGCAGCATTTCCTAGTATGTCTACAGTCTAGTATCAGGGTCTGGTGAGTTCTACCCATTTCATTGTTCGGGATACAAGAACTACAACATACTATACATAAATTATAACCTATGAAAAGACCCTCCAGGATCATTGATATCATAAGCTCACAAATGAGAAAACTGAAGCAGTAAGAAGCAGAAATGGAATCTGAGCCTACATTTGCCCACCCTCCTTCCACATGGCCACGCTGCCTCCTGTATGGAGAATTTTCTCTCAGTGGTGCTTCTCTATTTTCTGAAGGACAAAAACAGAGCTGCTGTTTAAAATCCACACTTGGTTAAACAAGTATTAGAAATTTTTAAAAAAGTAATTATCTATCTCCTTCTCTCCACCCCCTAACCCCCCCTCCCAAAAACTAAGTAGCTAATTTTGTTTGTTAGAAGCAAAAGGGAAGAAGAGGAAAGATACTCCTTTCTTCACAATATTGCCAAGGCTGGTTCTGACAATCGGAGGGAAGCCCAGCTGGGGAACGGGCACTGGACAGGTGGAAGTGCACCGCGGGGCTCAGCCCATCTCAGAAGCTCCCAGGCCACATGCAAATGACTCTTCTAACAGGGATGCTCATTCTACCTTTGAAGAAATCAGAGCCTACATCTTCTAGCATTTCCTATGGCTAGATGTTCATTCACTAAAGATATAAATATTTATAATAAAAATATGTGTAAATACATAGTTACGCATATGTGTATATAAAGGAGAGGAGGTTGGGGAAATGTACAAATTATAATAAAAATTTAACACAGAGATGAAGGAGGAATTAATAAAACTTGATTTGGACAAAATGTCTATTTCCTTTATATTTTAAATTGTAACTAATGTGGGTCATGTGACTGGCTCATAGAATTTTACTTTTTGTCACTGAATTGAATTCACAATGAAGATAAAACACTAAAGGAAAATAAACACACTTTAAATAACCCTAAGCAGAGATAAATATATTTCCCTATCTCACCTCTATCCTCCATCCCTTTCCTTACTCTAATAGACAGCAGAAAGTTATGGTAATATTTCAAGCAAAAGATTATTTGAATAGAATTTTTTCAGCAATAAAAAATTAATTTCAAAATTCTTACCATCATGAATTTCATAAGCCAAACTAGTGATCTTCTGGGTAATGATCATCATTGGGCTGTGACAACATAAAACAATATAGTTTAAAAGAAGAAAGTTAAAACAATACTTATGATGTATGAAAAGAGTTTACAGGACTACAAATCTTGAAATTTTTAACATAGACCTCCAAGGGTTTTCAAAGAGATAACCCAGGGGCTATGTGTTTGGGGAAGGAGATAGGGAATTCAGGCCCTCTCCCTTGCTTTAAAAGAAAAAAAGAGAGAGAGAAAGAATAAAAGGACCCTACCCCTAAAAGAAACCTTTCAAGTGAGTCCGTGGCCTAGTCCAAGCTCATTGTTTTACACACTATGAAACAGGCGAGAAGCACACAGGCCTGAGTGCACACAGGCAGGGCCTCGTGAGCTGGACTCAGTACTGCCTCTAACTAAGCATGCTGCCTCCTGCCTCAGGACTGAATGTAAAGGCGAAAAGTTAAGTTGCCTGCAAAAAGGGGAATGAGTAGAAAATAAAAGGAGTATGGCTGGGAAATGTGAGAGGTAGGAACAAATCAGAACAAGGGAAACAGAGGAAAAGAAAAAGGACAGCCTTCCATCTCCCTAGTCTAAAAGCTAGACACCCAGAGGTTAAAGACCCTAAAGACAGCCATCTAAAACACTGAAATTATGACATATTTTAAAGAAAGGAGGACTTTCAAATCATATTATAAGAAAATGGCACTATTTCCCATACTTTATAATTACTATAAATGAATGAATAACTTAGAAAGAAAAAAAATACAGACACCAGAATGCATTTGACCCTTTAACTTATTACATTAGCTTACACACAGTATGAAAGAAAAATTAATCGTAAGTTATTTTTTAATATTTTGAAACTGGGAAATCGTGTTTTGCCTAAAGGGAGAATGCGCTCTCTCACGTTCAGAGTTCACGTGTTTCGTGGAATCCTTGCAAAAGTGTGGAGCATGCAGAATCATCCCCATGTCCAGCCAGGGAGAGATGTCTGAGAGGTGAGCCACACAGCCAGAGTGGCAGGGGAAGCTCTGACCCCCGCAGGTCAAGTGCTGACCTGTGCCCAGCCACCAGTCCACACTGCTCAGAGCACATTCCTTAGTGCCCACTGCCATCTCTGGCAAAACAGTGGTGTCTTTCACATGTCAAGCAAGGAAGTGACTTCTCACAATGTCAGCATATGGCAGCAAGGGTTTGTTTTAAACGTTCCCACCACTGGAAATTAGATTCACAGACCTGGGCCCTTGAGAACTTGCAGTTTGTTCTCCCCACCTAACAGGCACAGTCTCATAAATGATGACTGTTCTTAAACCTGAAGTACTTAAGGGAGGAGATTCCTTAGGTTTCCTTAAAGGTCAATTCTTACATTTACACCTGGTCAATCCCAGGACATCAATCCTCAACCAACCTAATCCCCCAGGTTGCTTTCAATACCTGGTTGCTGTTTCTGCTTTGTGAGATATCCGTTATGCCCTTGAGGATTATAAAGATGCCTTATAATTTCCATTTCCCTGAGGCAAAATAACCATTTTTCTCACCCTGCCTAAATCTCTTCAGAGTTTAGTTCACCAGTGAATTACAAAATCCCCTTCAGTTCTAAATTCCAATTCCCATGTAGCCTTAAAACATACTAAAAACTGATAAAATTAAAATTTTTTCAACTCAGTGATATATTAAGCTCTAAGGTATATATATACAAGACGTTAAAAAATGGAAATATGTGCTTTTTGAGTGTATGTCCTCATTGTGCCCACCTGTGCCCCTGCACACTCATCCAGGTGCAAAGGATGCAGGATCTCTTATGCAAGCGAGCTGTGCTGGGAGAATGGATGGTGTGTAGCTGTGTCCCTGATTATGGGAATTGAGCTCCCTAAGAGAGACAGAGAGAAGGCAGGGAGCAAATCTGAATACTCCAGACTCTCCAAATGTTGCTCCCTCCACTCAGATGGCTCTTCCTAGAACTGCTTTGCAAGGATAGCTATTTCTTCCTTCTTCAAGTCTCAGCTTAAAAGTCACTTTGTACAAGAGGCCCACTGAACAACTCCACCTCAAGTAGCTCCTCTCTGCCCAAACACACACAAACACTCTCATTTCATCTCAGCTTCTTGTTTGTTTCCTTCAAGGTGTTTTCACATTTGTAGTTGCTTTATTTATCAAAGTACAGTGGTTACTTAAAAATCTCTCCCCTTTTTAGAAAGTTCATGAGGCAAGGAACCTAACAGTCTTGTTCACCACTCAATCTTCAGCATGTAGCACAGTGCTTGGCACAAAACATATGCTAAATAAATATTTTAAAACTATCAAATAAACTGAATGTAAGCATCCAGTCAAGAGCTATTACTCCTTCTGTAGGTTGATCATACTCCTTCCTATCTGTGCTTTAAGCATTTATCATAACATATTGCAATTATTTGTTTACTTTTTTATAAAAAAACATGAGCTACTCAACAGGGAGAAAGCTGCCTTATTTATCTCTGTGCCTTCAGTGCCTGACACCTAATACATGCTCAAATACTGACTGGTTTACAAAAATGCCTCCACATTTTTTTGTTTCACTTACTGGTGATCATTACCATACAGTCCCTTTGGTTTTTTTTTATTTTTTTTTTATTTTTTTTATTTTTTTTGAGACAGAGTCTCACTTTGTTGCCCAGGCTAGAGTGAGTGCCGTGGTCAGCCTGGCTCACAGCAACCTCAATCTCCGGGGCTCAGTGATCCTACTGCCTCAGCCTCCCGAGTAGCTGGGACTACAGGCATGCGCCACCATGCCCGGCTAATTTTTTGTATATATATTTTTAGTTGGTCAATTAATTTATTTCTATTTTTGGTAGAGACGGGGTCTCGCTCAGGCTGGTTTCGAACTCCTGACCTTGAGCAATCGACCCGCCTTGGCCTCCCAAAGTGCTAGGATTACAGGCGTGAGCCACCACGCCCGGCCAAGTCCCTTTGGTTTTAAACAGGTGGCAGCCCTAGCACCTCTGGCTCAATCTGTTACCAAGGGGATGGAAATGTAAAAACAGAATGACAGCCGGGCGTGGTGGCTCACGCCTGTAATCCTAGCTCTCTGGGAGGCCGAGGCGGGCGGATTGCTCCAGGTCAAGAGTTCGAAACAAGCCTGAGCAAGAGCGAGACCCCGTCTCTACTATAAATAGAAAGAAATTAATTGGCCAACTAATATATATATGTATAAAAAAATTAGCCGGGCATGGTGGTGCATGCCTGTAGTCCCAGCCACTTGGGAGGCTGAGGCAGAAGGATTGCTTGAGCCAGGAGATTGAGGTTGCTGTGAGCCAGGCTAACGCCATGGCACTCACTCTAGCCTAGGCAACAAAGCGAGACTCTGTCTCAAAAAAAAAAAAAACAGAATGACAGAAGACAAAGTTATTACAGTGACTATGAAGGAGCCTGTTATGGATGAAAATAAGGAAGGGATTACAGGAAAAATTCAGAAAGGGTTGAGTAGATTAAAGAGAGCTCAGTAAAGCAAAGTGGAGGGGAAAACAGACAGGGAAGTCCAATGTGGAGCCCGTACATGACCAGGAGACAGAACAGAGCGATGGGAAAGGACAAGCCTCATCCCACCATGGCAGAAACCACTGTACAGAAGACCCCTAAAGAAAAACAAGTCAACTGTGCACAGAGAGATCAACTGCATCGGGTCTTCTTAACAGCACATTTTGTTCATAAATACCTGTTTCAGGAGAATTAGGGTGACTCACACCATTATTTAATTTACACCTTTGTTTACATTTTAATTATCTGTTGACTTTGTTTTAATGGAACTTCCAATATCCAAGCACTTCCCAGGCCCTAGGAAAATCTGAAATAACTTGACAGGCATCACAAAGAACCTCTAATATTTCCCTAGGATGGAGGCTAGAAGCTGGAGAAGGAGGACAGGGGAGGCAGAGGCTTCAGGACTTCCCGAGTGAGGTCAGAGCCTTGGACAGAGCTTCCTCTTCCTTCTACAGCACAACACCACTATGTGTAAGTGGTATTATAAATGTTTTCTTTCAAAGATACTCTGCTAAGAATGTGGAAAAATAAGGAATCTTAACTATTTAAAATAAATACTTCAACTGATGAAACAGTTTCAGTTAATATAAAAAATTCATCTGAAGTAAAAAACTAAAAGAACTCTAGACTTTCTGAAACAAGGGAAAAAAAAAGAATAAAAACATTTTAAAACACAACACACTTTTTCCTCTATAAAGATTGAGAATAGTAGGATTTGGTTCTATTACACAGTAAAACTCAAATGCAGTTAAACATTATCAGAGAATGCATACTACAACAATTACTTTCTTGATTGTTCCAATATCTCTAGGAGGCTGCTAAACTAAAATGATGTTTGTATAATAACACTACAAAGCAAATACAAGCACCTATCAGATAAATGGTCAGCTTGCCACAAGACACGTGTTTCCCACCAACAGAGGCAAACTGTCAATTCCTCATTCTCAGTCATTTCTAAGTGCACAAGTACCCTTCCATTCACAAACAACAAGATCCACTGAGACCAAATGAACTCCATTTACCTAATGCCAAATGCATACACAGTAAGAGATAATGGAAAAGGCCACTGGTCTGAGTCATTCATCCATTCATCCATGCACTCTGTCACTCAGAACACAAGTACTTAATGAGCGCCTAGTAGGCACTGAGGCTCTAGGTGCTGGAGAAACAGCGTGCAGAAGACAAACTAAGTCCTTGCTGTCATGGAATTTATATTACATTGGAGAAAGAGAGATTATGAATGAACAAACAGGTAAACACAGAGCCGTATCAGATGTTGCTATGTGCTGTGCAATAAATGAAGTAGGGTGAGAGGAGTAGGGAGTGCAGGACACAGGTGAGGCGGGCCTCACCCAGAAGGTGATAGTTAAACAAAGAACAAGCCATGTGGAGGCCTGAGGTAAGAATTCTCCGGGAAGGGAGAAAAGCAAGTTCAACAGCCCTTAGGTAGACGTGTGACTGGCATGCTGGAAGATGAGTACGGAGGCCAGTGTGATTGAAACCAGGGAATAGGGAAGACGGGAGCAGAAGCTGAAGACAGCTAGCAGGAGGTCGGATCTAGCTCTGTAGGGTGCTGGGAGGACACCAGCTGGGATCTGAGTGAGACAGGAAACTACTGGAGGATTTTAGGCAAAGAAGTCACTTTGTTTTCTATGGATACATTCTTACTCCTGGTTAAAAAAAAAAAAAAAGGCTGTGGGTGCCAGAGGTGGGGGCGAAGGAGGCAGGTGAGGCAGGTAGGTGAGGATGGTGGCTCACACCAGGGTACCAGCTCAGGAGGTCTGGAGTCAATTCTAGATATATTCTGACAGTAAAGACAACAGGATTTAAGGACAGTTTGATAATGTGTTCGATGCAGGGTTTGAGACCCGATGCCATCAAGGTTTTTGACCAGGGTAACTCAAAGGATGGAGCTGACTAAGAAGGGAAATGAGAACGAAGGCATGCCTCAGTGCAAGATGGACAGCAGGGTGGAGACACAGTGAACAGGCAGCTGGGCACAGGGGTCAGAAAACTTAAAACCTGACTCCACTATGTATTAATTATAAAAAATTGGGGAGTTTTCTAAAAAAAGTTATTGTCTATAAAATGGGAATAATAATGCCTCTGTGTAGATTAAATAAGTAGCATTATGACAATACCTTAAACAGTACCCCTTTTCCTTACATCCACACCTTCATTTAATAAATACTGGAATTGCTATGAAGCCTATGGCACGGGAAGGATACAATAATTAAATGGGAACTGCTGTTTCTAAGAAGCTTTTTCTCTAGAATAGGAGAGAATGTGAATAACTATGTAAAAAATAGGTATGTGAGTAACTATGTAAAAAAGTGTTAGGTGCCAAGTGAAGTATTTGAAGAAATGAGTAGAGAGATGAGAAATAACTTCAAATTGAGAGAGTTGAGGGGAAACAGCTCAAACAAGAGGTACTTCATCTGGGCCTTTCAGGTTGGGGAGGCTTGGACACGCAGATGCGGTTGGAGGGGTGTTCCAAGCAGAGACCAGGATGAGCAGAAGAAGTACAAAAGAAGACAGAACCAGCAAGACAGGGACACACCGTGGAAGGCTTTGCAGGCCACTCACCAGCTTTTCGGTCTGAAGAAAACACTGCATATTTCTGATAAATGTTCTACCACACTGCTTTGTGAACATACATAAATTCAGGGGAAAGGCTCAGGTAGGGTGGGGAACAGACAATTCAAACCATAAATACAGCCATGTCTATTTACTCTTGATAACTTGAACTGCTAGCAGCAGCTAGACAGAAAGCTTCCTGAACCAAATGTAGGTCAAGGGCTTGGAGACACTCCCATAGGATGGACCAGGATAAATGGAACACTAAAGTTTCAGGAGCAGTTGAATAATTCACATCAACCCTATTTACAACATAGCTGCTGGGCACAGGGGGAAGAGTGAGTACCCAGGGCAGCAAGGGGCCTTCCACGACTCATTCCATATAATACAAAAGATGTCCACAGTCAGACTCCGGACTTGGATACAGCTTTTTGAAAAGGAGTGATAAAAATGACAATCACACTTATAGCTATTAGACCAAATGGCCTAAAACTTCTTATGCTTGAAAGAACTCTCATCGATACAAGTACCTAGCTCAGGCTCCAGGCACCTAGCAAAATGCACAGCACATGTTCAATAAACTTCGCTGAAAAAACACATATGACTAACTAGTAGTAAAACATTTACTAAACATCTGATACCACTTGGTTAGCCCTAAGATACATTCTTGACTTGAATGCACAATTATTTCACATATGAGGGCTGGTTGTCTGGAAAGTATTTTGCCATTATTAATATAATGAGAATGGTTACATGGCTGGATATTTTCCAGACAGCCCCTGTATATCTTTTCTTTGGTGTGCCACCGTTTAGGCACCACAGAAATCAACATATTCCAATCAGAACTCACTATCTTACTGCCCAAAAATCTGTTCTTGCTTCCAGCTACAATTTATTTATATACAAATGAGGCAAGGATTCATGTTTCTTTTCTCTTTCCAAATGTCACAATACCATTATTGAGGAATGGAGCCAGGCTGTCTCCAGTGATTTATAATCCTACCGTTATTATTCTGAATTTTCATTTCTTAGATCCATGCATAGGTCTGTTTCTAGGGCCTCTATCCTGGCTTCTTTGATTTATCTATTCCTACGTCAGTCCCACAATATTTTAATAACTTCTGCTTTACAGACAATAGTATGTTTTTATATCAAGTTCCTACTCTCAATCATTTATTTATCTAGAAAAACTTTTGAATCAATTATCTTATGTCCCCCAAAACTGCAATATTACCTGTATTATACTGAAAAATTAATGTAACGAGAATTTTACATCTTTGCAATACTGAATTTTACTATCCAAATAACCAAGTTATTTCTCCAGTTACTCTTCTATGTCTTATAGTAAGGTTTTATAGATTTCTACACAGAGGTCCCTGTATACATCTTTTCACACATATTTCTAGATATTTCATAGTTTTTATTGCTTTTGAAACTAAGATTCTTTGCCTATTATATTTCTAACTGGTTATACTGGTTATTGTTGATATAAAGGAAAGCTACTTACTTATTTTATACTTCTCTAGTATCTATTTTCTGAGGCTAACATGAGCGCTAAAAACTTTAGTAGCTTTTCAATCTTTCTGCAAATACATACAAACTTCTATTAAGAGGCAAGTCCCTTTTATCTCATCAATATTTTAATGTATCTTGAATTTCACAATTTATACAAACACACACAATCTGTTTTTCCATACCTTGTGCAAGTAAAACTGTCCCACACAAAAGAAGTTTCATGTTAATTCCTCAGCAAGAGCCTGGGCTTCACTTCTTATGCTTTCTAGCCCCCGAGCAATGGGACTGCACAGCACAAAGAGTGAGTCACTTTATTCAATTCTACCTTCTTCAGACACCCAACACTTTGAATAGCTATGATATGTACCTAATGAGGATCAAGTTATGGTCTTCTCTGCTCAAGTGCTATAACACACTCACAGGTTCCCAGTGCCTGAACACTTCACCAAGGGGAGAGTCTGCCTCTTAATGGCTCTCTTCTCCTGCATCCATTAAAAAAAGGAGCCCAAAAAGAGCCCTTCCACTTAGTTCTGGCACAACGTTTCATGCCACTGTGTGCTCTCTGTTTATACACTACCCTCCCCTCCCGACCAACTTAATCAAGAGGATTCCAAGGAGCCTGCAAGAGGTGGAGCCTCAAGAAGGAAGGAGCCTGGTTCCCTGCTGTGTGCAGGCTCCCTCCTTAGGGGGCTGTACAGAGAGTAAGAAACTAGCTTTCATTATGCTAAGCCACTGAAATCACCTTAACAGCAGTTAGCCTATCCCTAGCTAACATAGAGAGATATTAGGTAAAAGGCTTGAGATTGACAAGAATTTGAGATAGCAGATGAAGGAAATAAAGAAGGTTTGACTAAGATCAAATCAAAGGAGGAGGCCGTGAAGGTGCGACCAATTTGTACTGACATCAATCCATATGCTTGTAAATAAATTCAATTTGGTTGGGTTTAGTTAATTTTTAAATCTGGTGCTTAAAAAAAAATAGAAGGAGCAAATATTCTTAAATGAAATATTATAATATATGGGATCCCAAGATATAAACTAGAGAAACACAGAGCAGATGTAGTTAAAGCAAGACTTTGGCTTGGTTTTGTTTATTTGTTTGTTTGTTTGTTCTGGATGGAATCTCCGTTCATCCAAGCCTATTTAATAAAAATCTGTGTAGTAAAATCCACTTTAATCACATTAGGGAAAAACAGATATTTCATCTTCTAAAATTCTCTTGTTTCATAGGAATGATTTTTCTCTGAGTTCATACAATTCCGGTCCGTTCTCTTGCACAAAAAAAAATTTTCAGAGGTACCATGATTTGTTTTTTGTTTTGTTTTTCCAATATACTTATCTTTAAATTGGATTTACTGCTCATTTCTTATGCTGTCCAAATGACTCAAGAGTAACACAAAAGCAGGCCTTCTGTCTTGTTCAACAGAAAAAGTTATCAGGCTTAACATAAAAAATATAAAGGTTTACTTTCAATTTCCCCATCTGGTACCAAGGTGTTAGCAGCTATTCCTTTACAAGGATGGCAAGCAACTTACTTCACAAGGGCTTGTGCCGCACTTATCTCAGAACAGACATTCAACCAGTTTTGTTACAGGACAAAGAAACCCATCTAGTACCAGGATGACAAAGAATCCCCTCTGAAGGAACAAAAACCAGAAGTTATTTCCACTACTCAACTGAATACTGATACTGAATGCAGAACACTGCACAGAAGTGAGATGCACAGAAGTAAAATAAATGCTTAAGTGTTTTCTCTAGGAAATTCAGACAGACCTTGCTCAAGGACCTTTGAACCAAAGAAAGTCCCATTAGGTACTAAGAAGCAGAACAAGGGATGAGCTCTTATGATAATAGAAGCTGGTAAATGATTGTACATAAAGGATTCAGGAATGGAAGCAGGCAGTAAGGTAGGTGGGCAAGCAGGGAAGAAGAGAGGAAGGGAAGGAAGGAAAGGGTAGCAAAGGTGCAGGCTCACAGGGGACTGACTTTCAATAGTTATAAATGATTGCAGAAATTTCTACCAGAATTAGGAAATGCTTTCAATACCAAAATCTTGTAAGAAATTTAACTGCTATACATTTAGAAATTTTACATAAGACAATATAAAGCACGTGTTATTTTTCTGACTTTCATAGTATTATAAAAGACCACTTAAAAGAAACATTCTAAATTTAGAAATTTTGAACTAAAATGTTTCATAATAGCTTTTCACTTGCACTACTAAATGCAACTATATTTTGTCATTTAATTACCATGTTTGAATAGACAAACAGGCTACTGAATCAAAGTTTTAATCTTACCCTGAAAAATCAGCAGAGTATTGTCCATAATCAAAGATATAAACTCTAGTAATTTGGCACACTGTGAGGTATCCCAAAGCAAACACAAAACAATATCTGGAAAACAAAAATAAACTAGATTAGTAAAAATAAAAGATTCATTTTGTTAAAAAGTACATTTTAAAGTAATTTATTCACTACATGATATGGTTCAAAAATTATACATTACTAAATCTACTCTACAAGTAGTTTTTTTAAACAAATTATGAAAACTCTTTACTAGTATCTGCTTCAGTTTATTTGCCTGCCACCTTCAATGGTAAATCCATTTATCGCCTTTATTCATTTCCTTCTGAAAGACATCCTCTCATCAAATTACGTATTTCAAAGTCATGATCACAAGCATAAAAATGTGATTACTGGTATGAATTCTATTTATTCCTCTTTTCTAGACAACAAAATTTAGCACAAAAATGTGTGGTTAAGATATACATTAAACAAATTCTTAATAGGATTTTTTAAACTTGTTCCCAATAGTCTAAAAGCATACATTCTTAGTATAGACCAGGTGGCATTTATTCATATTTTATACAAATGAACAATTAGTGATTTTCATAAACTTAAGATGCTTGAGATAGAGTTACAATAATCAAAAACATAGTGTGAGAAAAAGAATTTACTTATCAATAGAAGAAACTAGAAACCCAGAAACAGATTCTAGAATATTAACATTGCATAAGGATAGAGGCTGCAATACAATTATCAGGGAAAGGATGGATTATCACTTAATTAGATAACAATCTGGATGGGGGCAAGAAACTTACGCCTTCATCTCATACTAAAATAATTCTAGAGTAGGGCATGGTATCTCCTGACTGTAATCCTAGTTACTTGGGAGGCTGAGGTAGGATAATTGCTTGAGGCCAGGAATTCAAGATCAGCCTGGACAACATAGCAAGATCCCATCTCTACTAAAAATAAATAAACAAAACAATTCTAGAAGGATTAAAGGATTATATCAAAACTATGAAACGACAACAATTAGGAACTATATGGCTCAATGTACAAAGGCATCATCAATAGGAGGAGCCTATTTCTCCAACCACTTTGAATCTGGGCTGGCCTTCTAACCACACTGTAGATTATGGCAGAAGCAATACTTTATTAGTTCCAGGCATAGCCTATAATGAGCCTGGCAGTTTCTACTTCTTGCTTTTTGAGAGCTGGTTGTCATGAAAGAAGTGTGACTATCCTACGACCACTGCCTGCAGAGATTCTGGAGGATGAGAGACCATGTGGAGAGAGAGGGACAAAGAAAGGAGAGAGGGAGGGAGGGAAGGGTGGACCAAGTAGTGGTTAAATACGCGAGTAAAGACGCTGATTCCACATCAAAAAGAGATGACCTAGCCAGGCAAACCCTTCCTGAATTTCTGACCCACAAAATCGTAACATAATACAGTACACAGTACATCAATATGTTTTAAGCAACTACGTTTTAATGTAGTGACATAATTAGAACAGAAATTGGTGTACTAAAACACACAGCACTGGCTTTAAGATTGGACGGTGAGTAAAAGCAGCAAGAGTCTCGAGGAGAGAGCCAGTTTAGACTTGAAAGACAGGAAGTAAACTGCAACTAGAGAAAAAGTAGCTCATATTATACAGTAGTAGTAACTGGGTACCACTGCTGCTTGCAGTCACACGGAAAACAGAAAACATACCTAATGAATATGACAAATGGTTTCTTTTAGTGCATCTGATAATGTATGGATAGAAATGAACTAAAAAAAAAGTATTCTGGTTTTGAGCAGAATATAGGAAAGGCCCAGGACAGTCTTTCCAATCAGTGAAATATTATTAAAGTAATCAACATTAAGATAAAGTCAAAGGTAGTCTTTGATGCCCCCTCAGAAAGATTTAAGGGCAAACCTTTATAGAATCCCTCAGATAAGAAATAGTTTCTAAGAATCCTAAAGGCATGCCTCTTACAACTTTCCCTAATATACAAAAAAAGTTTTTTAAAGAACCTTAAGGGTGCTATCCACTGTGACTCTCAGATCAAAGTAGAAAGGAGACTGTCTAAAAGAGACTAGTGGATATGGTTTCTATGTAATGTAGTAGATTCTGATTAGGAAGCCCCGCATAGTTTTTTCAAGCAGTGGTCCACAACCTTTTTGGCACCAGGGACTGGTTTCCTGGAAGGCAATTTCTCCACGGACCGGGACTGGGGTGTGGGGCTGTCGTGGGTGCGGGAGTGTGGTGCAGAGCTCAGGTGGTGATAGCGCAGCCATTTCCTAACAGGCATGACTGGCACTGGGGCGGTTACCTGGGGGTTGGGGACCACAATTTTAAAGGACTTAACTAAGATTGGACTAAAAGGGAGAGAGTTCAAAATGAAATTAGATCTTTAGGTTCCCAATTATTTACCCATTATTAGCAGGCTAAGCAAGCGATTCAACTGCAAAAACTGGTCATTTCTTCTGAAAAAGGAAGGCTTGCTCAGGGTGTGGACTGAAGAACCCAGGGATAGAGCCAAGAACCACTCAAGGGACTATGTCTGGGCCCTAATCAAGGAACTAGTAACGTGCATCTTTCAGGATTTATCAATTGCTATGGACCAAGGCTAAGTGTCTTACATGGCTAGGTGTCTACTGCAATTATCCTATCCTTGTTCATCACTGGATACTGGGTTTGTGAGGGGCAAAAAGCTTGCCTCCTAGTTTACTGGTCCTCAGCTCAAGAAGAACTTTATTTGAGGAGCCATTTCAAGAGGTATCAGCCATACTAGATCTGACTTAGATGACAAGAGAGAACTTGAGTTTGATGCCTTAACAAGATGAAACTCTGAGGATCTTGGAAGGGAATAGGTATATTTTTTAATGTAGGATATATGTGAATTGTGGGGGCCAGTTGGCTGTCTCCCAAGACTGCTGCCATCAATAACAACACTCCCCATCCAACTCTACATCAAGAACTGGAACACAGTTCTTGCTACTAGATGTTTATTCCCTCTAAACCTCATGTAGAAATCTGATCCCCAATGTTGGAGGTGGGGTATAATGGGAGGTGTCTGGGGCATGGGGACGGATCTCTCATGAATAGCTTGGTACCCTCATGGACATAATGAGCAAGTTCTCACTCAGTTAGTTTCCTCCAGAGCTAGTTTTCAAAAAGAGCCTGGCACCACCCTGCTCTCTTTCTTGTTTCCTCTTGCCACTGATCTCTGCACAAGCCAGCTCCCCTTCACCTTCTGCCATGAGTGGAAGCAGCCTGAGGTCCTCACCAGATGCAGATATCCAATCTTGAACTTTCTAACCATAAGAATCATTAGCCAAATAAACTTTTGTTCCTTTATAACGTACACAGCTTCAGGTATTCCTTTATAGCAGCAATATATGGATTAAGACAATTCTCTTCCCCTTGAATCTGTGCTGGACTCAATGCCTTGTTTTACCAATAGAATACAGTGAAAATGACTTCCTGAAACTTTAAGGATATGTCACAAGAGATCTGCAGCTTCCTCCTAGTCTTTCTGGAATATCTGTCCTTGGTACACACTACATCAGAGCCCTGCCATCATGTTTGGAGAAGCTATGGGCTCCAGTCAGCAATCCCAGCTGATCTCCCAGACATATATACCACCCTGGATGTCAAGCAGTCAAGCTTCCAAATGCAGCCTCAACCAACATTTAACGGAACACATAAGACCCCAGCAAAAGCTGTCTAACCAAGTCTAGGCAACACACAGAACCATGAAAAATGAAAATAAATTGTTAAGCCATTAAGTTTGAGGTGACTACTATGCTGCAAGATAACTAGAATAATTCTTTAATAAAAATGTGGTACACTAAAACTAACAGTAATTTAAAATAATAGTAACAGTCAATTAATAGTAATTTAATAGTAAATAGTAATTTAATAGTAAAATAATAGTAATAGTAATTTAAAATATTCTAATTAAATAGGATTTATTAGCATGTCATTAACTTACTTTTTGATTTATTTTGAAATGCAAATAACCTTAAAGTCCACTCTCCTTAAATTAATCTCTAAATTTAGCATAATAATCCCAATCAAACTCCTAACAATACTTTTGGTGAAACCTAAGTAGCTGATTTTCAAGGTCTTCTGGGAAATTAAATAAACATATGATGAGGAAGACTTGACCTATCCCAGTAGATAAAAGAATATGCCATGGTGATTTATAATGTAGTATTGTTTCAGAAATAGACCAAAAGATTAACCAAACAGAAGAAAGTAAAAAAAAAAAAACCTCATTGTTCAACTGAAAGTTTTGTTTATTATAAAGTTGGCAGATGAGATTAGTGGGAAGATGAATGAGGTAAACAAGGGTTAAAAAAAAATAGCTCTTGTTTCAGAAATATTTAATAGTTTACCAGTTCAAACAACAGACATGTAAGTACAAAAATCCAGTCAGATAATTAAAAGATCTAAATGTAAAAAATAATACCATAAAAAGTAATAGAGTAAGACATAAAAGAATTATCCTCAACATCCTGGAGTGGATGAACCTTCATAAGCATGACAAAAATCACAAATGCCACAAAGATAAAGTCTGACAAATATTTATTACATAAACATTAAAATTCATATATGACAGATGACAGAAATTCAGTATGTAACAGAAATTATTTCTGACATACGGTATGCTAATATCCCTTATAAATAAATTCCACAAATCAACAAGAAACAGATTAAGAATTCAAGTAGAAAATAGAAGAGAATGAACAAACTATAGAAGAAAAAAATTATAATAGTTCATTTAGAAAAATAAATGAGACTCAAGGAATAACCACCTGGAAATGAGTATCAGAATGATAATATCTGTCAAATATACAATTGACAAAAGTTTAAAAGCAGATAATGTCCAGGTTGGCTAGGGAAACACAGCTGACAGGGATAACATTTTCAACAGCCTTTTTTCGTTAGGCAATTTCATAGTATACATCAGAATTTGTACATACTCTTTGAAACGCCAAGTTCACTTTCTTATCTCAGTTACTACCATTATTACAAAGTTTTGTAATGTAAAGGTTAGTAATACAAAGGCTTGTGATGTCACCATGCAATTGCTATCTAATGATGTGCTACTGAGC